TTTCCTCTCCATGTTTATATGCCCGTCCGTTCCCTGGATCCCTTATCAATGCAGCAATTCAAGTAATGCGTGTAATTCCGGGCACTTAAGACAGTCACAGTAGAGCAGAGCAGACAAGCTGAGAGTCTCTGGAAATCAAAATATAATTACAGCACGCATATTATATCATATAATATTTATGTAGCATCTATCTAGATATCATTACTTACCTGTACTTTGCATACACTCTAATGGGAATAACTGGTTCCGTAGCGATTGATCTGAGAAACTTGGTTGAAGCTGATTCAGCTTCACGCCTTCCAGATCTCAACTATCGCATGAGTCAGCATCAGGTTTCGTTGTCTTAATTTTATGACGACTGCATATGATGACTCGTAGCTGTCCCTCAGAATATCAGAATGTGAAAACTGTTCGTCTGGGATTATTCCGGATACGTCTCTCCAATGTTCGACTGCCGTGCAGATCCTGATCTAGCAAACGCTATGCAGATTGGCTTGACCTAGTGGGAAGATATATGTGTGAGCTTAAAGAGATCTAAATTCATAAAAAAATAACGGATTTGAGGTAGGTAGAGGAGGACACAAGCTATATAACACATGCATAAATGAGATATATATGTATATTTGGTTATGGGATTTGACAGTAGGTATGGGTTGCAGATGTACAGAAAGAAAGATCTACGATAGTATATCCGATTATACAAGTGGAAAGTGATGTTAGTGTAAATGGATAGGTTGTTAGATGAAAAAAACGACGCTTCGACACAGCCGGGGTATATATGGTGTGGGTGGGTGTTGATTAAATTCAGGGTGGTTAATATATGATGAAAATTCTGGAATTATTGTGGAACGATATTGATAGTGGGTGAAATAATGGTTAACTCCAGTTGATATTATTTCCTGAGTTGAGTTGACGACGCGATTCCGTGAATTCGATTGATTGCAGCAATATAAAGTTTTTTTTTTACTTGAGCCTCAGACGCAAAATACTTTTCACAGTCTGCTCTCCAGAAATGTTTACAAAAGCTCTGCAAGGCAAACTGAAACTGTGTGAATATGTATGTGAGCTATACAATTAAAGTATTGACTTACTCGAAAACCTCTCCACATAACCAAATAATACAGAATTGAGTACGTGTTGCAATGAGATTATTGTGAAGCCTCTCCACAGAGAAGAGAATGAAGTTTCAATATTTTGATTAGTTGCTTTGATTAATACATATATAGATAGCTGAAGTCCAGACTTGGGCAACGCAAAGTTTTTGAAATCGTCGACCAGTGTCTGTTCTCCAGATTTGATTGATTATTAGAGCTCTGCAAAGCAAAATGAAATTTTGTGAGACAATGAAATATTAGATTATTGTGAAGCCTCCACCGCACTTACCCAATTAATGTAGATGATAAAGTATTAGAGTATTGTATTGTGACACCTCTCCCCAAACTCAATTCAAATGAAGATGAGGATGAAGTTTCGAAATTTGAATGAGTTGGAGCGACTAGTATATTATTTAGCTAAAGTTCAGACTTGTGTGTTGATGAAGAAGTTTCAATATTTTGATTGTTTTTTAGCTGAAGTTCAGACTTGTCTTGCCTGCTTACTTCTGGCAATTTCGTGAGTTTGTAATTCAGATCTATGTATGTGACACAGTTAAGGTATTGGCTTATTTTGAAACTACTCCACTTACCCAATTAATATCTAGCGAGTCTTTTTCGTCAGGACGCTCAGAGCCGTTCTTCAGTGTCTCAACGTGTGGTTGAGTAGAACTAGATTCCACTGGCTCGTTGATGTCACCGAAGTCTACTTTAGTTTCCGATTCGTTACCGCTCTCCATGCCTACGTCCAACTCCATTTGCTTCTTGTATTTATTTGGGCTATTCTTCCATAGGGCCCAGACAACCCAATTGTCATCGTCCTGCTTGAAGCTATGAGAGCTCATCGAAGTTTCAGACTCTTCAGAAATCTTGAGAACGTCAGCGAATTGCTTATGCAACAAATCTTCATATTCAGAGCTATCATCGGTTTTTGTTTCCGGATTAGCATCTTCTACAGAAGAGATGTCAGAGTCGGTATCGCCAGGTTTCGAAATGTTGATCGGATTTTCAATAACGGTCAAAATCTTTTCTGGGTCATCTTCCGTGGAATATTTTTCTATCATCGATCTTTGAGCACCAGAAGGCAAACTCATTCCTGATGGGCTCTTCGATGTTTTTGGAACTTCTTCTGCCATATTGAAAGTTTCTCCCCTTGGAGAGCTATTCAATTCGTTATGTACGATTGCCGTTGTTACTTTCAATTTCAGTGGACAATCCATGCAGCTCAGGTTCGGCTTGTCAACCGTATTTTGCCTATTGGACACAACCGTAGACACGTCAGAAACGTCTTCCGTTGAGTGATACTGCCCATCGCTGTCAGAATCATCTTGGAATGCACGTCTGTTAAAAAGCAATCCCGAAGAGTTGTTATGTTGGTTTCCCGAAACCTCGGAGGATTCATTTCGTTCTGCAGCCCCACGCGTCCGAACGCCGTCGCCCTGTCCAACTTCCGGGTTCCTTTTGGCAGCATCGCAAACATGGCTATGGCCGTTCCCCTCGTTATTGTCTGTAGACGTATCTGAGTTCTGATCAATTGGTCGATAATAAGGACAGCCGCAAGGCCTAGCGCTCTGCAGAATTTTGCACATTTTCTTGGCGTTTATATACATTCTTGTTTTAAAAGGCTTCCGAGTATTTGCCATGTTGTCCTTAGAGACAATTATCAGTTTACTAGCCAAGGTCTGATTCGAATTATTATGTACGACGGTAAAATTTCTTCTTGGTTTCGCATTTAGCTCATCACTGGGGGTCAGCACATTCTCGACGTTTTCTTTGGAGGATACAAGCTTCAAGTGCTCATCCCCATCAGAGTCGGACAGTCGAATTTCGGAATCGGACGTTTCATTCAGGAATGGAGCCTGTTTGATCCATTGAATAAATTTTTCTTGCTTGTTGAGCTTCTTAGGCCTGTTCGAAATCGGATTATATCTGGCATTGTTACTCATAGTTCTGAAAGAACGGAAACTGGCATTCGACTCGGCATTCGACTCAGCATTCGACTCGCAATTCGACTCAGCATTCGACTCGGCATTCGACTCAATATCCGACTCTAAGCCCGACTCAATAAAACATTCGACATAACATTCAAGCGGAAGTAGTACTGGTAGCACAAATGGTATGAAGTCCCTGTTATTCCTCTTCCTTGAAAGCCGTTGGCGAATTCGTCGAAAGTTTAACGTTCCCAGTTTGAATTGGAATAGAATTTTTAGTTTTTCAAGGAGTGCCCATAACTCATGCTTTGTGACGAAAGTCCACATTTCAACCTTTTTGAGGACTCCTGACATATTTAGTTTCTTAAGGATTAGATTGCCCAAATATTGCAGAAGGCCACAGCTCACATACGTGGTAATATAAACTAAACCGATGATCATGATCAGCGCATAGGACAGCCACAGCAGTTGACTTACAATGACAATATTGATCCAGGTGACAAGTCTTCTACCTTTATAGTCTCCCTCGTAGCGCAGATACATAGCCTTGGGATTATCGTAGGCAACCATTTTTAATGTTTTGGTCAGTTTCATCCAGAAGATGGGCAGATTTTCGTTGTTGTACTCGCCGGTTCGTTTCCCTTTGCTTTCTGGCCTTTTGAAGCCATTATTATCCATACCAATGTATTCCTCCTTGTCTTCGGCAAAATCATCAGCAAAAGGCTCGTCAATCAGATTTATTGGACGACTATAGATAAAATTCGAGTCATTCTTTCCGCTGTAATTGCTAGACCCTTCAAACTCATCGATGTAACCGATACGGAAAAGTCCTCGAGCTCTATCCAATCGCTGCCAAAATTCCACGAACGGATTGTGAAAGGCGGCCAAAAACCATATTAAATAGGACGTGAAAAGGAACCAATCCATTTCAAACACAATGATCAGCGATAAAGCTTAGAAATGTACTTGCACTGGCAATTATTTGATTCACGAACACTTTATAGTACTGCTCCAATCAAGTTCAAATGATTAATGCAGATGCAAAGTCATGCAGCTTGACATTTGAAAAGACAGGCCCACCAGGATGTAGAAATTATTTTCGAAAATCGAAAATACTGTTTTGGCGTGCAACTTTTGCAATTCACAAAAATAAACCAAATATCTGCCAGGTGGCAACACTCGATCAACGGCCATTCAATAATCCACAATATATTTTCAAATCTCTCATTTAGTTCATTTATGTCTTTGGTATTTTTTGCCACCTTGTGCTTTGGCACACACGAAAACTATTATTTGGCGCAGCCAGATAACAAATGGCAATATCGCATTGCCGATACCGAGCGAGGATAAACTGTATGGCCGTTTAGCCTTCGAGTGTTGAGTGCAACAGGCATTCACACAATTGCACACACATAAAATATTGCCACTTAACATTAGTGATATTCCTTAATTTTTATTATTATTATTATTTTTTATTAATATTTCAATTAATATTGATCTGGATTATAGCCAATAGAAATAAAGCTGGGGTGAAAACTTAACCAAAAATAAGTAAAAATTATATAGACCGTTTAATTTGTCAGTCCTCGTTTCCAGTGTTGCAAAGGTGACAATTGCAGTTGCCTAGAGAAACTTTATAATTCAAACATGTACAGTGAAGGTAAAAAGTCAGTCAACGTACACCATACAACATATGCCAATAATTAGAGCACTAATAGTATATTAAAGCATATTTGAAAAGCATTTAAGTTTATGGCAGAATTTTATAGATTAATTGTAACAGCTAAATTTATGTAAATTTAATATGTACATACATATATAAAATGAATATGAAATGTATAAAAATATAAATTTTGTATAAGGCTTCCATTTCTTAACTTTATTGCCTTGTACTGGACTGTTCTACAATATACAATATGAATGCATGTACATATGTACATATGTACATATGCATGCATGTGCAATAGCTACATATGTACATATGTACATTTGTTGATGGAATTGCTGGAAATGTCAATTATGTCGCGTCATGCGTATCGGCTATCTGTAAGAATAAGAAAGTCAATATACAAACGAACAAACACACGCACACACACACACGCACACGCACACATAAATGCCTGCAATATCTAACGCGATCGCCAATCGCATACATATGTCTTCCTCTGCCGCCCTCTGGTCTACCAACTGATAAATATGAAGCACTCTAACAAAAACAACAACAACAGCAATTGCGAGAGAGCATGCTTTCAATGAGAGCGAACCGAAAGTGTGAGCGAGCACGCGAAGAGTAAGAGAGTGTCATATGTTAGTTGGTGTCAGCGTGTGTGTATGTGTAAGTGTGTGTGCTTGTAGAGCGAAATTGTCAACAGCCCAGCAACGAATATCAATTGACGGAGACGGAGGCGATTGCGACTGCGACTGCGACTGCGACGGCGACCGAGCTGCCGCCCCAAAAGCGGGCACTCGATCATGTGCAGTCGATGTGGGCAAACGCAAAATAAACGCGCGCGCGCACTTTAACGCCATTTAACCGTTACAGTTAGTTTGATTTTGTGCGTTTTGTTTTGATCGCGCCATTCCCTTAGTTGGCTGCTATTCCCGTTGTGCTGTGGCCTGTGTCATTGCTGTTAGTGTTGCTGTTGTTGTTGTTGTTGTTGCTGATAACGTGACAAACACGCTGACGTCGTCGTGTGCTGCGCCGCATGCCTGCAACATTTCTACCTGCGTCTGCGAAAGTCCGCGAAATGCTTGAATCCCAAATGTATTAGTCATGACGGTGCGCGAGCATTGCGGCGTTTTTGAATCATCCAACCGGCCAGCCGCACTCACTCCCTCGCGCAGCATTCGTGAATAAGCCATTGCTAGCAGCAGCAGCAGCAGCAGCAGCAGCGGCAGCAGAGAGCGCGGAATCGTAAACTGTTTACATTGCTCAGCTCAGCGAGAGTTCAGTTCAGTTCAGCTTAGCTCAGTTCACTTGCATAAAGTTCGGCTCAGTTATTACTCATAAGCACCTTGCTTGGCTCTGACTCTGACTCTGACTTGGGATCGCAGCGTCCAACACTTCCTCTCTCTCTCGCTCTCGCGCTGGGTCTCTCTAGCGGCCAGCTGCGATTACGTGAAATAATAATAGAAAAACAAAGAACAAACAATAACAACAACAACAAAGTCGTGCTGCCTGCCTGCCTGATAAGAGTCGAGTTTTTTTTTGATTTGTGAATTGTAAGCAATCCAGTGATCGGATCGTGTATATGACGGAGTAGTCTAAGCGGATTTCCAATCGCATGTGCCGCGCCAGTAAACCAGGTGAGCTCTATACTCTGTGTACGCCGATAAGATAAATACTACAACACAATGGGACATGTGTACCGAGAACTGGACAGCTTCAGTGCTAAACGATCATGAGCTGTTAGACATTGCGTATACGTAACGTTTGCTTAGAGTGATCTAACGATGTACATAATATTCAATTGCCAAGTAAATGCACACGATTTATGTACATATTTATCTAGTATAATCCATTGTCGAATATGTACTTTTTATCGATCTACATACATACATACCTACATACATATATAAATGTGTGGATATATCATTCTGCTAATTCAACATTTCACTGATTCTCCTTTTGTTTCTGAAGAATTGTGTAAACGTAATACTAGGAAGACGCAAGTTCCAAGTCATAAAGACATGAATCATTTGGCATATTTGAAGTTTATTTGTTTTTCTTTTGAAATGTAGAAATATTTTTTATTTTTATCTTCCAATTTTAAATTATTACGACTTAAAATAGGTAATTTATTACTTATAGGCTACCCGAGAAAAGTTGTTATCAAAGCTACATAGATATGTACATACACATACATACATACATATGTATGTATGTATGCATGAGCTCTGAGGAAGCCTTTAATATGTAGGAGATATTTTGAGATAAGCTATTGATAGAAAAAGAAATTATATTACACAAAAGAGCAATACCTACATATACATACATATATGGATATGGTAAAGCTCTATGCCAATAGCCATAACACTGACAAGTTTTATAGTTCAAGAATACTCTACATAGGCCAGGTCAAGATATTCCTTTTTAGAAGTTTATATACATATGTATGTACATATGTATGTATGTGCAATAAATTCATAATAAGACCATAGCAGAAAGAGTGAAAGAATAACACTAATATTATTTGATAGATGGGAGCAACTGTCATTCGAGAATGTTTAGATTTCGATCGATCGATCAATCATTTGGAAAGTAAATAAACGAAAGTATGGATTAGGCAATATCTGGCTGACTGCAGAAAGGTTATCAAATATTAAATATCTTTTATATTGCTTACTTTATGAGATTGTATATGCTAGACACATGCGTATATCCAGAACAGCGATCGGTCAGCTGAGCCGATCTAGAGCTGCAGTAAATATTTACAATGTAGTATATCATTTAACTGGGCGTCAGCTACTCAGAAATACAGAAATGTGAAAAGTGTTCCGGTATTTCGGTGCACAAGTGCGAGAATGTCACACACATAGATGTGATATATAACAAGTATATACAGTATATACATATATGTATGTAGTATATGAAGCACACTCAATTAATTAAGGTTCGACGCTGATCTTTGCACCCGCAGCTAAAGAGATGTTCCATGCTCGATGTTTGTTGGGCCGCTGAGTGTGCGCTGTGACCTCTTTAAATTATTTAATTGACACTAATTTATTGTAGTCCAAAGGAACAGCCAGCTAACAGAAACAAAACTCGCCAGTTGGACAATTGGACAGCTCGTCTCGACACCAAAGCCCCGCCCGATTTGCATCAAAGCTGAGGGCTCCCAGTCGACACCGTCCATTTGTCAGTTGCCCGTTGGCAGTGCTCGGTTGTCGATCGATAGGCCGTTTGTTTATCACGATCGCTTTTCTCCATTGTTTATTTTTTGCTTGATTCCTGACTGTGCGTGTGTGAATTTTTATAATACGTAGTGATTGCATATACATAGCTCTGCTGTTCAGGTAGAGCTGCTAAGCATTGTTGAAGCCTGCCTCAAGCTGAAATCTGTAAACTCGCCTGCTCACGCCGCCTTCATTATCATCCACTCATTCAGATTCTCGTTCTCTTTCTGTTTCTGTTTCTGTTTCTGTGAACTTCTTAGCTTATCTGGCATTATGAGTGACGACACTACATCGAGTCTGGGCTATGGCGATGGGCTGCCTGCCTCAGTGGCACCAACGAACGGCCTGCTGGACGCTGTGGATGAAAGTGGGTAGGTTGCCCTCGACCCTATCAGCTGCCGCTTGCGCTGCTTGGTTAATTATAGCGCAGTGCGAGAGGTCCGATAACCGATCGTTAATATTACGCGGCCCATTTCAAGCGCCGCTCCACAAACACTCGCAACGCCAACAGAGGATCGCCTGTGATCGCCGCCGATCGGCTCTGTGTGCGTGAGTCTACAACAATGCTGGCTGTCTCTGAGCCAGCGGAAGCCACTGGAGATATGATATGGGCATCGGGCCTTAAGGTCGACGCGATCAGTTCAAGGATCAGCGCTGCGATCGCCACGGAAATCAACCAACCAATTACATCCAACTATGAGCGTGGATGCTCCGGATCACTTGCAATCACTTGATCGAAATGATCGATGATCGGTGTGCGCTGACTTTTCTTATCTCGATCGCGAATGCTTTAGGGATCAGCACGTCTTGTCTACGAATGCATCTTGAAATCAGTATAACTAATTATCTCTCACATTTGCAGCTTCTCGCAATCGCTGTTGACCTTTGCGGCGATCATGACCTTTCTGATCATGATCGTCGGCATCTGTGGCAATTTTCTGACCGTTGTCGCGCTGCTCAAGTGCCCCAAAGTGCGCAATGTGGCCGCCGCCTTCATCATCAGGTAGATCGCTGTAGATAATGCTGATCGCTTTTGCTAATACCGATCAATCACGATCTGTCTTTTATCGTTTAGCCTGTGCATAGCCGATCTGCTGTTCTGTGCGCTGGTGCTGCCGTTCCAGGGGCTGCGCTTCGTGCAGGGCGGCTGGCGGTACGGCAAGATCCTGTGCCGCGTCATCCCGTTCATCCAGTACGGCAACATTGGGGTCTCGCTGCTCTGCATCGCCATGATTACGATCAATCGGTATGTGATGATCACGCATCATAGCTGCTATGCGCGCATCTACAAGCGCCACTGGATCGCCGTCATGATCGCCGCCTGCTGGCTGGTCTCCTACGGCATGCAGCTGCCCACGCTGCTCGGCGCCTGGGGTCGCTTCGGGTACGACACTCGGCTGCAGACGTGCTCGATCATGAGCGATGCGCACGGGCACAGCAGCAAGACGACGCTGTTCATAACGGCCTTCGTGATACCCTGCCTGGTGATCATAGCGTGCTATGCGAAAATCTTCTGGGTGGTGCACAAGTCCGAGCAGCGGATGAAGCGGCATGCCACCAAGCAGAACTCCATACCCAACAACCTGAGGGCGGTCGCCAGCCAGCCGAACAACCAGGCGGACAACCAGACGGTGGCCGGCAGTCGCGTCTCCACAGACAGCAGCAGCTGCTCCACGGACGTGCCGGAGACAGTGATACCCGCCGGGGTCGGGGGCAAGCAGCCGACCACGCGGGTCAAGGATCAGCGGGAGGTGCGCGCCAAGCGCAACGAATGGCGCATCACCAAAATGGTGTTGGCCATCTTTCTGTCCTTTGTCGTCTGCTACCTGCCGATCACCATTGTCAAGGTGGCCGACAAGGATGTGGAGCACCCGAGCTTGCACATCTTCAGCTACATCATGCTCTACCTGTCCGCCTGCATCAATCCGATCATCTATGTGATCATGAACAAGCAATATCGCAAGGCCTACAAGACGGTTGTCCTCTGCCAGCCGGCGCGCCTCCTGCTGCCCTTTGGCAAATCGAATGGGCCGAATAGTGCTGCAGGTACGTACCGGGTGGATCCGCTTTGGATTTGTGCATGCGAACCACATCCGCTAAGTCACGGTCACAATTTGTTTTAGAGAAATGGAAAGACACCGGATTGAGCAACAACCACAGCCGCACCTTGGTCTCCCAGATGTCCGCCGGCGCAGCAGCGGCTGCAGCGGCATCGCCAACGGCAGCGGCAGCGGCGCCTGCACCGACATCCGACTGCCCGTCCTTGCCGGCAACCAAATCGGGTCAGTCACTGGAGCTGCTCTCCCGCTGTCCGGATCTGATAAGCCGCTCGAATTTGCCCCCGTTGGCTACGCCCCCAACACCCCCGCCGCCTTCGGTAACGCTCGCAGCCAGCAGCAACAGCAGCGGGAGCTCCAACAGCAACCGGCTGCCACCCAAGAAGAGCAATCACTCCTACATCAACAACGGCTTCAACAGCAGCGGGGCGAGCAGCAGCAGCAGCAGCCTGAGCAGCGGCGTTTATCGACCCGCAGCTGGCTCGCTGGCTCCGTTGGGTCATCGTCGCATCACCATGGTGGGGGACGACATCATACTGGAGGAGGAGGAGCTGCCCGCCACGGAGCTGCCAGCGCCGACGATGATGGCCAGCAAGGTGACCAAATCGCCGATCTACATGAACATCGACAGTCCGAAGAGAAACCAATCTTATAGCGCCAATGCGACGGTCAAGGATGATGCACTGCAGCAGGCGCCGGTCCAGGACCAGGATGACGCTACCAAAGTGCTGACGAAGCCTCCAAATCCAAAAGACTAACGAAATGCTTTAATTCCAAATATCGTAACTGTTACATTCCCCCCCTCCCTCCCCACTACGTGCGCTATGTATTTAGCGTATATCGTATAGCATATATCGTACACTCAATACACTCGATTACGGCACGCTCATACATGTAGATATCGTAGATTGTATTCTGTGCTCTCTATATCGTTTACGATAGCCAGGGAGCACTCTATACGCTTTACGATGTACTCAAATGTGTCTCGTAAATTCTACATTAAGTTATAACGATTACGATATATGTGGGTTGACACCTGTGCCGTAAACGATATTCAGATTACTGACTCTGATATATATGCGAATATCGTAAATGGTACTCGAAACTGATATTTCGTATGCTGAATATCGTAAACGACACATGCACACATACATACGTACGCATATCGTAATCGCAATATATTTATAGATATTTATCGTTGCTCCGCACCTAGTATTAACCACTAAACTAAGCTCTATTTATATATTTCTATCGATCCAATCCCTCCATCCGATAAGCATATGCAAAACTCTATATATTTTCGAATTTTTTTTTTATTTTGTTTTTTTTTTTTTTTTAAACACTTTAATTACGTTTGTGAATGAACATTCCATAAATATGCTCGAGCACTGTTAACATCACACTGTTAAGGCTATGTTACGCTACATATTTTACAGTTGTGCATGTCGGTCAACGATCGAACCTTAGATTATTTTAATATATATTATACAATTTTTTTTTTTTTTCTATATAGTAAAATATTTCTGTTTGTATTTGTATTGCTTTTTTCTTCAACAGTTGACTTCGATTAGGAGACCTTGGGCCTCACGCGAATAATCTTAGAATGTCGTCAACCATTCCATTTATGTAGTTATAAATACACACACACATACATACATATATATATCTAAATATGCTATATTTGTAGATCTAACTAGACATATATTTGTACCTACATTAATCAACCTATATTTTATACAATTTTTTTTTTTTAAGATATCTGTCTATGAGCTGCAATATGTGCGCTCGAATATATAATAATGCCTATACAAAAACAAAAATTATTTTATATTTTTATTGATAGGCAAATGCAAATACATGCTCTAATCAGCGATGCCAAATGCGCTCTTTTTCCGTCAGATCTGGCCTTTTTTTGAAAGTTAGATTGCGGGAAAAATGTTAAAAGCGGGAAGCTTTCTAGAAGTTCGTCAAAGCTTTAAAAAGCTCTTTGAAGCCGAGCTGAGTCGATTGAAACATGTTGATAACGGGACACATAAAGTTGATTTTCTTATGTTTTGATCGACAAATTCACATATTCCTGAATCTATATGTGCATAACTATTTCATAAGATTTAAGTTGTTTGTTACATATATTTTAGATGCCGTTTTTAAGCTTTATTATGTTTGAGTCTCTTCTTTATCACAATTTAGCTTGTTTTTTTTTTTTTCATTAATTTATTAGAGCTTTTCATGGCAATACAAAAATAATGACAGCACTGATTTTAACCCATTTCGAAGCTTATCTTTAAGTGTACAAAGAACGAGAGAGAGAAAGAGGGAGAGAGAGAGAGTGAGTGAGTCGAGTCTCAGTGCCAGGCACGATCGTACAAGAGCGCTTCGCCTGCACTGAGAGAAATCAGCTGTGACTTTATGGGGGCTTTGCAGCAGATTTAATAAGAAAATTTATAATATCTATTGTTGAAGGACGTCGCCCACATTGCAGCTGATAACGTATCAAATGTTATTGCAAATATATTCGCATGACTGCTCCGCAAATTCGTCAGTATACCGAAGTACATAAATAAACATTAGATATACAATATTTTTTGTAAGTTTCTTGTGTCTGTTTATTTCCAAAGTTGCTGACAAACAAACAGCGAAGCTGAGATCCATTGTTAGTTTTGGCAAACGCAACGGGTGGCTGTTGAGTAGCTGATAACGCACTGCAATTGGCATGCGGCTGGCGCAGCTGCTGCGCAGTGGGCAGTAAGTCATTACGACAATGAGTGCCGATCGAAGCAGAAGCAGCGGGAGCAGCAGGAGTAGCAGCCATGTGAGCTGCACGATTTGCTCGGAGCGGTATAAGGCGTCAGATCAAATCTATGGTGGCAGCTGTGGTCATGTGTTCCACTGGCATTGTCTGCAGCGCTGGTGGAAGGAGTAAGTTCAGCCCGTTTGAACGGAAGCTGTAAGCAAAGGCTAATCCGTTTCCATCGAACAGGTCCAACAGCTGCCCCGTTTGCCGCAGCAGGTGCCAAGAGTTCTTTCAGCTGTATTTAAGCTTTGAGGAGGCAGAGCCAAGCCAAAGTCAAAGTCAAGGCCACAGCCAAAGTCAAAGTCACACTCAAAGCCACAGTCAGAGCCAGGGTGCGGGAGGGAGCAGCTCACCAGATGACTTGACCAAGGAATTTCAGAATTTGCTTTATGAAACGGACTTGTACAAGGATGAGATCAACTATTTAAACGAGCAAATTAAGTTCCTAAAAATTAAGTTAGCACTAAATAGGTCTAATTCAAGTGACTCAGAATAATTATGTACATATCATATATGTATAAGTATGCAATAAAAAACATAAAGCCAGCTAAACAATCAGCTGTTTAGAACATCCACAAAATTCGATAGGAACTGTAAGCATCGCCCTAAATTTGTGGCGATAGTCTCGGGTATCGATAAGTTTTAAACGCCACAGCCGTATTACTGTTTGGTCAAATTTAGCACATTTGCGATATTTAAGTATTTTGTTTGCAGTGTGTTTGAATTGGACGGCAGATCAGTAAGGCAAAAATAATTACAGATAAACGCGTCTATCAATTGTTTTTCAACATTTTATCAACTTTTAATGTGTACCCGTGCGCGTTTGCGTGAATATAGTGCGAAAACTGTTAAACAGTCAAAACGCCGCGTTGCATGAAATCAAACAAGTGCGCATGCAAGTAAGTTGCACCGTGCATTAAGCTACGACTAAATACAATTTAGAATTCATTTGACTTCGATTTCAATTGTGGACTTAATTTGTTGTGTTGCTGGTTCGTGGTTGGCCATAAATAAAACGGTCTTGAAGGCGCGTTCGCGGCGCTCATTGTTTTGTTGTTGATTTGTCGATGTCGATTATTTGGGCCGAGGCCGGAGCCGGGGAATTGCCGCTTTGTCCATATGTCTAAATGAATGTGTGTGTGTGTTTTCTAGCCTACGGGTGTGAGTGTATGTGTGTATTTTTGCATATGCCGCGCATAATTGCAGGGAGGGTCGCTACCTGTCTGTGTGTACGTGTGTATTTGCGTCGTCTGGCTGGATGCGTCTGTGTGCGTGTTTGCGATTTTGCCAGTACAACAAGAATTGTATTGTGACAGACGCAGAGTTGCTCTGAGTGGTGAGAACTCTTTCTCTTTTATTGTTGAGGTTGTGGTGTTGGTGGTGGCCGTCGTGTGCTCTAAACAGGGTTGTTGCACTGTCCAAAATTGCAAGACATGCACATTTCATTGGCGTATGCCCAGCACACAGGGGCACAAAACCAATAAAAATTTATCCAATTGATTTTTGTGCAAACCACCTTTGGTGTTGTGTGTGTATGTTGTGTTGAGTGCGTGTGTGTCTGGGGCCCGCCACTAACGTGAGAGCGCTGGACAACACTGGCAGCTGGTGAATTCAAGTCGCTGTGGTGAGTTTTGTCTTTGTTGAGAAAAAAAATGTCGACGCGAAAAGTATTTAATCATTAGTCAGAAAAGCCCGTCTATGCGAATTCTGCAAATTGGGAAATCAATTCAGCCTGAAGATATAACACGACGTAAAACTGGATAAAGTGGCAAAAGCAAGGCGCAAGTTATGTAAATGAAAACGAGTGCAATATATGCAGCACACAAATTTGCCAGACTCTGCGACACGGTGGCGTTCCTGTCGACCACAAAGTGAAACTGAAGCGGGGAAAGTCGCACACGCATAGACACACACATACATATAGACGCAACATTGGCAAGAAGAAGATCAATAACAATAACGAGCAGCAGGAGTGAAGCCTCAGCACAAGATGGACAATTGCGACCAAGACGGTAGCTTTCGGCTGGGTCCGATCAAGGAGGAGGTCAAGCCTGACATATCCCAGCTAAATGACAGCAACAACAGCAGCTTCTCGCCCAAGGCCGAGAGCCCGGGCCCCTTCATGCAGGCCATGAACATGGTCAATGTCAACAACAACAATAATCCCAATCAGCAGCAGCAACAACAGCAGCAGCAACAGCAGCAGCAGCAATATCCGCCAAATCATCCGCTCAGTGGGTCAAAGCACCTGTGCTCCATATGCGGAGATCGAGCCAGCGGCAAACACTATGGTGTTTACAGCTGTGAGGGCTGCAAGGGCTTCTTCAAGCGCACGGTGCGCAAGGATCTCACATACGCTTGCCGGGAGAATCGAAACTGCATCATCGATAAACGGCAGCGGAATCGCTGCCAATATTGCCGTTATCAGAAGTGCCTCACGTGCGGCATGAAGCGCGAGGCCGTGCAGGAGGAGCGACAACGCGGTGCTCGCGCCTCCACCGGACGATTGAGCGGCGGCGGCGGTGGCGGTGCTGCCGGTGGAGCTGGCGGTGGCTCTGGCCCTGGCATTAGCGTAGGCGGCGGTGGTGTTGGCAGTGGCGCCAATAGCGCCTCCGATGAATTTATGCCCAACAGCGTATCCCGCGACTTCACCATCGAACGTCTCCTGGACGCCGAGCAGCGGGCGGAGGCGCTCAGCGGTGATCACGCATTGGCATTCCTGCGCGTCGGACCCAACTCGGAGGTGCAGCCGGACTATAAAGGCGCCGTCTCAGCGCTCTGCCAGGTGGTCAACAAACAGCTCTACCAGATGGTGGAGTATGCCCGGCTAATGCCCCACTTTGCCCAGCTGCCGCTCGACGATCAGGTGATCCTGCTGAAGGCGGCGTGGAACGAGCTGCTCATTGCGAACGTGGCCTGGTGCAGCATCGAGTCGCTGGACGAAGCGATCGCCGGGGTGGGCCATGACAGCGCCTTCGATCGGCGGTCACCGGTGCTGCAGCCGCAGCAGCTGTTCCTCAGCCAGAGCTTCTCGTACCATCGCAACAGTGCGATCAAAGCGGGCGTCCATGCGATCTTTGATCGCATACTGTCCGAGCTGAGCGTCAAGATGAAGCGCCTCAATTTGGATAGACGCGAGCTGTCCTGCCTGAAGGCCATCATCCTGTATAATCCGGACATCAGGGGCATCAAGAATCGTGAGGATATCGAGCACTGTCGCGAGAAGGTCTACGCCTGCCTCGACGAGCACTGCCGGCTGGAGCATCCGGGCGATGATGGGCGTTTCGCCCAGCTGCTGTTGCGATTGCCTGCGCTGCGTTCGATCAGTTTGAAGTGTTTGGATCATCTATTCTTCTTTCGCATCATCAGCGATCGGCCGCTGGATGAGCTGTTCATCGAGCAGCTGGAGTCGCAGCCGCCGCCGGGCCTGATCCTGAGGCCGGAGTGAATTCGATACGGCTTGTTATCGATCGATAATGTATCGCAGCATGTTGTCGATCGATTGTTTCATTGTGATTGAGTTTGTTTGCATTTCTCTGCCAACCACGCCTCCTGTACCCGACTTCCTCCTTCCTTCCCAATATTATTCTGAATGATCTGATCTATATTTCACTCTCTAATTAGTAACATGAATGTTATAAAATAATATACTAAATATGTAATGTATTTTTTTTTTTTTTTTTGTAATGATATATAATATATATACATATATATTATTTTAATATATATATAATTTTTTTTTATTTTTATTTTGCAAACTAGAAAATGTTTTCCTTAAGATTCAACGATAAAAACAAATTGAAAATAAAACATAGTTATATGAATGTGGCGTTGTCATAGTTATATATATATATACATATATCTGCTATATATGTATATATATGTGAATACCTACATACATATATGCATATATCAAATATAAGCAAATTGTAATTATTTCTTAAAATAATTGTATCCAAACGTTATAAAATACATGCGAATTAATATATATATATATGTATGTATATATATACATGTACATATATCTCTATCTCTCACTCTCTCTCTCTCCCTCTGTATGTATATATATACTGTATAACGTTTGTGTACGAAAGTGTTTTCTTTTACCTTGAATTTTGTCCCTGTTCGGAAGAAACGTCTTGCATTAGCGCCTGTGGCGCGCTCGTACAGTGAACGCACGTTAATCGCAACCCATTCGATGTCAGAAGCTTTTTATCGATTCGCTCTTGATTTGTCCTTGAAACCGAATCCATAAAAATATTAATAATTTGTATCAACATATATGTACATATATATGATTTTTATAATTTTTCAAAATGACGAAATCAACTTGCATTATATCATCAGCTATCCGATCAACATCGTTCGAAGATCTAGTTTATTGATAGAAGAAAATTATGGACATTATTTAGTCTTACAGTGAAGACTTTTCCGTCATATGTGTATATATAAATATATATATATTTTTAAATTAATGTTTCAACACTTTTCTATTTTAGTTTAGAAAAATTGTCGTAAATTCTCTTTTTGCAAGGTTTTCTTTCAGCCATTTTATTGTCAAAGCCAATTAACAAATTGGACAAGCGTTGGAAAAGTTGGAAGAAAAATGTTTCTCTAAGAAATTCTGGACTCAAAAATCCTTGGCATGCTTAAGCAACAGCAGATGATATTGGAGCATTTTCAAGAATCTGCAAAAATCGCTATTGGATAGAATAAACGGCGCTCCAATTGGAACAAAAAAGTGATAACACAAAGCGCGCGAATCCAATTGGGAATATCACCGCATTCATATTCAAGCAGTGTGTGATCCAATTGGAATCAAACAATTGCCATTCGCTCGTTCTTATTGGATGCTCTTCCGCTTGCTAATTTGATTTTTGTTTTGTTTTGTTTTTTTCTAAAGTTGCCCATGGCAATTGGATAATTGTATCAGAAAGCATTTAGTTTAGCTTTGTTAATAAAGTTGATGTTGAATTCGTGGCAGAGACTCACTTTCTTCCGCTGGTGTTTATAGCCATCTCTTTGGTAATTTGTCTGTCCGTCCGTCCATCCATCTGTTTGCCTATGGATTCGTGGCGGGCATTTCTTTCAATTTTTATTAAATTTATGTATGTTTTGCGTTCAAATAGATATTTTCAGAAACATGGTATTAACGCACAGAAGCTTTAAAAATAGATATTGTTTTCGAAAAAAAAAAAAAAACGAAAAAAACAAAAAGAATTTGCCGCTGACGACGCACAAAAAATGGGCCAAAAATAAATTATTTCTTCTTATTGGGCCGAGTTGCGATTAGTTGGGTGGGATGCGACCACGTAATACTCTGCCCCTCATGCTGCTGCGTCTTCCATCCAACCATTCATCCATCCAGCGTGTCTGTCTGGAAGTAGAGAGTGGCCGAGCAAGAGAGGGAGAGATATAGGCAGAGAGAGAGTGTGAATGAGTGGCTGCTGCTCCTTGGGAGAGCGAGCGAGTGAGCGAGTGACTGCGTGCTGCTCCTTGTGAGAGAGTTTTACTAACTCACCAATCCATATACATATACACATATGTATGTGTGTGTGTGTTTGTGAGTTGTATTTAGATTTGAGCTATAAAATGTTTAATAAAACTCATAAATAATCTGTCTATAAGCACAAAAATATATATTTATGCTGATATGTATAGTCTATATACATATATATATATATATATTTTTATATCGATATATACATATGAATGCACACACACACACACATAAATACATTTGTATATGTTCAATAGGCGGCATATTCAGAGTAGTTTTGCACGGAAAAACCAAGTGGCATGCCAATAAAATCATGTGTGTGCCGTCTTCAATGCCTCCCTTACCTACATACACACATACATACACTTAGTATGCATATATGTATGTTTGTATGTGTGTGTCGTTGTGTATTGGAAAAGAGTTTCTGAAGCGAAATTAACAATTTGCTATTTTTGTAGCCATGCGGGGGCGGTATGATGCGACAGTCCGACCCCGAACTGACAGACATACGGACGGACGGACAGACAGAAATCAACTAACAGACACGCATTGACCATCAGCAGCAGCAGCAGCAGCAGCAGCATCAAACAACAAGTTGTTGCTTTCACACAGGGTGACTTGATTTCAGCTGCGTGAGTGTGCGTTTGTTTGTCTCTTTTGTTGTTGCATTTCGAAAAGCTAACGGCATTCGCTCTAGCAGATTCTACCTGTTGTCACCGCTCTTGCATTCGTCTGCATATCGATAATTATCGAGCATGGCCGAGGCACGACGCGACGCACGCACACAGACACAGATTTACAAAAGCTAGCTCACTCACACACATACACGCCGCAGCATCAGCCAGCAGCAGCAGCAACAATTGTCTGTTGGTCGAATTCATACTTTCTTCTTTGTTTTTGCTTTGCCTTTCCACTGCTGCCACCCACTCCCACTGTGTGCATATGTATTGTTATGTGTGTATGCATGCTCGTGTGCGCTTGTGTGTTCGTGTGTTCGCTTCGGCGCATGCTCGTTCGGGCATCTTCGTGTGTTTGTATGTGACAAACGAGAGGCGATCGCCGTCGTGCATTTTGTTGTTCTTTTTGTTGCTGCTGCGGCTGCACAGTTTTCTTTGACTGTTGCTGTTGCTGGTGCTGCTGCTGCTGCTGCGCTGCTGCTGCCGCCGCCGCCACTTCTGGGTCGTCGCATACGTACGATATTCAGTTTTTGCTTCGCGACATCAGTTTTGAGTTGGCTATCAACGCGAGCGGGTCTTTCTCTTTGCAAGCGACAAACGTAGATATTTCCATCAAATTGTAGTATATTCCACATATATTGTTTTGTTGTTTTTTGTTATTGTTGTTGTTGTCGTTGTCGTTATTGTTGTTGGTTACAATACAAATCAAATTACCAAAAAATTTTTTTTTCATATTTTTTTTTCAAAAAGTAAAAAAAAAACGATTTTTTTAAATTGTCATACAACACAGACACGAAAGAAGAAGAAAAGCGAAAAAGAAAGAAAAACTGTAACAAAAATAATAAATTTATATAGTTATTAATTTATTTTATTTTATTTTTTTTTTGGTTCAGACTTGTTCAAAAAGAAATACGTCAAAACATATATAGAGAAGCATATATATATAAATGTGTGTGTGTGTATATATATGCATATATGTGTATATATAACAGTAGATATATACATGTGTAATTATATATACATATACATACATACATACATATATATATATATATATATCTAAAGAATAAGCTTTTTCAATTACGAATAACGAATCTGTTGTATGTGAGAGTGCGTGCGTGTGTGTGTGTGTGTGTGTGTGCGAGCTGGGTATAGATATATATGTGTATATATAAAGATACATACAAAACATATAGATACATATATCTGAATATATAGAATATTTATGTATATGTGTATATGTATAAACCGAAAATAAATACAAAAAAAAAGAACTGCTTAGATATCTGTGTTAAATACTTTTGAAAACGGAACGGAATTATATATATAAATAAACATATATATTATATTCATATATTCACATATGCATATACATATCTTGAAATTATAATGTATATATACAGATATAGCTAATATTCATATATCTAATAGTTCTTCAATCAAAGTCTAAAAGTCCTCCCCCATCCCCCTCTACACATCTATACATACGCACATCATGTCAGATCATCATACGCACCTACATGCGTTATGTATGTCCGACCATTTTTTTTTTTTTTTTTTCATCTATTTTTTTTTCGAAAATCATTTCAAATTTGTACTAAATCCACAATCCAATCTGCCCGAAATTTCCAACCGCACCGCCCCGTTCCGTTTGCTCCCCTCTAAAAGTGTGTGTGTATGAGAGAGACAGAGAGTGAGAGAGAGAGAGGGAGATAGAGAGAGAAGAAGAAGATAAACCGTACGGCACATGCGTTGACGTTAACGCCGAAAATAAAATTTGAAAAACATACTATTTTTAAAACTATACCAATGCGAAACGGAACGAGATGGAACGAAACACAACGAAACCAAGCAAAAGCGAATGTGAACAAAATAATTAAGTAGCAAATTATCGTGTTATACAACGGCTTTTTATACATATGTATCTAAATGTGTATGTATGTATATATAAATATATTATTTTGATATATGTATATATGATATATATTCTGAACTGAACTTGGCTTTTAGCACTCTATTCTAGTTTTTTTTCGAATTTGATTTCGAGCTCGAAAAGACAAACACCTGTATATGCCCTTTGTGCAACAGTTCAGCTGGCTTCCGCTTCCCTTAGTTCGCATTTCCGTTTCCGTTTCTATTTGCTAATCAATTGTTTATCGATCAATCGTTCTATCTCTGTCTTGCTCTCACTCTTTCGCTTTGCCCATTGCAGATATACAATTTGAAGGATTATCTTGAAACGAACATATATATTTATATATAAATATGTATATCTATACAATTTGTTGTCTTTAGTTTAAATGTCAAGCCAAAAGTGAATCGAGCAATAAAAAAAAAATAAATAAATAAAAGAAACAACAGTTGATTGAAGTTTACGAGTTAAGACCACCTGTCGAACCAGCTAAAATCTATCGAACCAACTTCGAATTCCGACAAATTATTAGTTCTGAGATTCTGAAATCCACACAAGAGCACACACACACACGCACGTATACGCACACGCACACAGAGACGACCAGCAACTGCAACTAATGAAAAACAAAATAATTTAAAACTTAAATTTAACAATAATAAATACAACAAATAGAAACAAACAAAAAATATATAAGAAAAGTTACCCAAACGAAGTAATTAAGAAAAGTGCAACCCTACTACCCCTCTGCCCCCCCGATCATAATCGACAGCAGCAACAGCAACTGCACCACCAGCAACTGCACCTAACGAAACAGCCACAAAATGATGATGGAGAACGGTATCTCCATGGAGTACGGCGATGGCTACATGGAGCAGGAGGAGGAATGGGAGCGCGAGGGATTGCTCGATCCGGCGTGGGAGAAGCAACAGAAGAAGGTGAGTGCGACACCAAAGATTATTCCAAATTCTATATAATTCGATTTCGATTTCAACTTGATCTTGAGACGATCCACACAGATCGTTGGCCAAGTTAAGATGTGGCGAGTGTCAAGTACAAGTAGATTTAGCCAGCCATTCTTTCCACTTTCCACTTTCCACTTGTCCCATTCTTATCAATTCGGAAAACTGAAAGATTTATTTTTGAACTGAAACTCTGAATGCTTGTCTATAAATAAAGCTCTAATATTAGCCCCATATAGGAAATTTGGCCAAGAAAATGTTTATTTATGCCGAAGTTTTCTGCCAAAGTTTCTATTATTTCATTTGACAAATCATCAATTCTAGCAGCTATTAGAAAACATGGGCACGGGATTGTTGTCGTCTACGTCTAGCCAGCTACATACATACATGCATACATGGCCAGTCAGTGTTGCCAGACTGGTTAATAGCTAACGGTTAAAGAGCATCAGTTGAACACAGATGCGAAACAGCATGAAATACATAATATAGAAATGTTTAGCTATAGCTAACACACACACGCACATGTATGTGTGTGTGTGTGTGGCTGTATATTTCTTCGATTATGTTTCAATATTTGTGCAGGGTAGACGTGGCGGGACAGGGCGGTGTGAGGCAGGGCTGGGCAGGCAAGCGAAAAGCTCAGCGCGCATTTTATAAATAGAAACATTTCATGGTTCTTTTCTCGAAATGTTTGAAATATGTTGTACGAAAATAAATAAAGCGTTGTTGTAGTAGTAGTAGTTGTTGTTGTTGTCGTTCAGTTAAAAACATTTTGCGCCACAATCATTTATCACTGGAAGCCTCCAAATGCCTGAGACAAAGTTAGTTCCAACAATTTGCCTCTCTGCCTATTGATAACTTCACAAACTATTTGCCTTACCTCTCACTCACTCTCTCTCTCTCTCTCCCCCACTCTCGCTCCATATCTCTCACAAAACACACACACACACACACATACATATAGCTGAAGGTTATATATGCGATGTTCCATTCAATTATGTTGCGCGTATTTCTTATTGCCTGTCACTTCTCCACTACCCACCTCCCCCACCTCCTGCTCCACCTGTCCCACCTGCCCCAGCCCACCCCCTGTCACTCTCACTCGCACTCTTTAGTGCAGTGCCGCTTTATTTGTTTGCTTGTTCTGTGTGTGTGTGTATATTTTTTTTTTCCAGCGGAAGCAACTGCCGTTACCTGACAACAACAACAACAATAACATGCCACTGCCACTGTCTGAATTGTTGCTCAATTGATCGCTTTCGAGATCGCTCAGATGTGTGACTCAATGGCACACAGGCACACATACATACATATATACATATGTACATATGTATGTATGTAGCTTTCCAGCCACATAGTAGTCTGATAAGTCAGATTCAATCAGATTGCCAAAATGAAAACCCAAAATATCCCGCCCCCACCTGCCCATGCCCGCTGTTAATCACTTAACAATGTGTAGAAAAATGTTCGGTTTATTTAATTGCCAATTTGGCAACTATTTTAATTGTTGTTGCTGTTGTTGTTGTAGTTGTTGTTGGCTTTGCTCTTTCCTCTTTTCTTGTTGGCTGCAAATGAAGCGCAGCAAATAATGATTCAACACAATTGCTTTTTGTTGTGCTCTTGTATTTGTTACCAACAACAACAAGAGCAGCACACAAAAAATTATTCAGTTATTTTTGTGCATATACATAATTCTAAAAATTGTTTCAAAACAACAACAACAACAACGACAACAACGAAAATATCACGAAAATTTAGTGCAAGGTTGCGGTTTTGACACGCTGCTTCATGATATGCTTATAGAGGGGGTGGGCCGCAGCTGGGTAGGCGCGACGCGTCGCAGCAATTTGCAATTATAAATAGCCAGCAATAAGCTAAAGAACTGCATATTCCACATAGAGGGAGAGAGAGTGTGAGTGTGAGTGTGAGTGGAAGAGAGATGGAATGATATGCAGTGCAATGACAAATTAGAATATGGCTGCTGCAGGAGGTTGCCACCTGATTAAAAACATTTTAATGATTGAGCTTGACATACAGTCATGCACACACGAACACACACACACACACACGCGGACACTCAGCCATACACACTCACATCTGGTATATGCGTACTCCGTTGATCTATATATAAATTTCGTAATCGTAAATTACCGCACAACAGAATTTCGTCTCGTCATTATGGGAGAGACGCAGCGCAGTTAAAATGTATAATGAAAGCAACAAATTGTTGTCGTTGCTGTTATTGTTGTTGGCATTTCTGTGTTTACATTGGCCAAAATGGCAGGCTGATGACTGTGTGAACAAGCTAACTGGGGGTACGGGGGGGCAGGAGACGGCGACCTGTGGGCGGCCAAGCAGGTGAGCTTGTGGGCGTAGGCTGTTTATTGTTTTCGAATCTTGCACTTGCTCTCACTCTCTCCACACATATGTGTATGTGTGTGTGTGTGTGTATGATTCAGCAGCCTATGCGTCATCGGCAGTGCACCACACATACATACATGCATATGTATATCTATACATATACATACAACATGCCTCTCAGGTGTTAGGCAATTGCCAGCTGGCAGGATTGCCATAGACAATGACTAAACTAAAAATCAAAAATTGAAAAAAAAAAAAATACCAGTGTTAGACAATTGCGACGCATTTTGACAGCCACTTAGCGGCAAACGCACTAATCGTATGCGTGTGTGTGCCTAAATAATACCCTATTGACTTTTTGCAACTAATTTTTGCCAAAAAGCATCGCGCTTGCTCTTCACCCCATTACGCGCTGTTGTCGACGTTGGTTTGATTTAATTTGATTTTGTTTTCTGTTTGTTTTTTTTTTTTTTTGGGTTTTTTTTTCGGTTTGTTTTTTTTCGGCGTGTGCGAAAGAGTCCATGCTATGAGGCCGCTCAAATTACATTCGGCTAAAAATGGTGTGTGCGAGAGAGCGAGTGCGCATCGCATCGTGAGCTTTTATTTTAATATGATTTTGTTTTTGTTTTCTGTGAGTGTTAATTTTTTTTTTTGAGCAAAAAAGCTCCCGGCGTTTGTCTTTTGGCGCGTGCGCATTTCTTATTGCCTCGATTGCTCAATCGCCAGAGAGGAGCTGATCGGCGTAGGCAACGGGCAGCTGCGTCTGCGGCTGTGGATGCTGCAGCTCTGCCCGATAACGGTAATCGCGCTGAGCGCAGCTTTAACTATTAAAAGAAGAAAAAAGAAAAAAAAAAAAAAAACGGCAGAAGCAAAGCAAACGGGTTGACGGCGGAATGCGGCAGGCACTTAGCTAGTCAACGCTGCACACATGCATGCATATACATACATGCATACATATATAAATAAATCTATGTATGTATGCACATGCATGTCTGTATGTATGCAGCCGAGTAGCGGTAAGCGCCAACGACTCGTTTGGCAACGCACTCAAACTGCAGCTTACCTACCACTCCCTGGCACTCTTTTCCCCTAACCCACCACAGCATTCTATTTGTGTGTGTGTGTGTGTGTTTGTGTTTATTGCTCTCTTTTCTGCTGCGCTGCTGGCCTAGTTGAACGTGTTATTGTTTGTGTGGGTAATGTAATGCAGAGGTAATCTGTCCCCAGCGCCCGTTTTGATCGTCACACAGAGAGGGAGAGACAGAGAGAGAGAGCGGGCGAGAGATAGAGAGAGATGCAGACAGCGATTTGCATTAACAGTTGCATTTCTTGTTCTTTGAGCTCTTCCACGTTTTCCGTTTGCTCGTCTAAGCTCGTCTTAAAGCCGCGACAACCATAACAGCATCCAACAATCTAAGCGAGTTGCTTGGCGACCTGTCCCATTGTATCATGCACGCACGTAACTGTAAGCAGCTAAATGGCCAATAAACCTGCAGCCGGCTATACGTTCCCATTCTTCTTGCACTTCTTCTTTCTTTTTATTGATGTGTGTGTTTCTTTTTAACATACATACATATATTTTCATTTCAACTTTTTTTTTTTATCTTTCACCCAATTTTCTAATAAGTTTCCCATCTGGAAACGCTGTTGTCCCTATGCGCTTGCGTAGCGGTTCTTTCATTGTTATGCATATTGCTATCATTTATACATATACATACATACATGTGTCGACTAGGTAACAGTGTGCTTGTGTGCGTGCGCCCGCGCTTTCCTTTTCACTGTTGGATCACTTGAACGAAATTCATGTGAATGGCCAAGCACAAACATTTGCCTACTCACACAGACACACAAACACACACACACACACATACACACAGGGAGACCCGCTCGACTATTAGCAGCTGCATTTCTGTGGGCGTGTGGGCGCGCCATTGTATGCCGTAATATTTGTGCATGTGTGTGTGTGTGTGTACGTGTGTGTGCCTTTAGGTACTTGTGTGTGCGAGCTTTTTGCTCAGCAACAACATTAAGCCTGTTGTAAGTTTACAAGCACCAAACAGCAGAAACGCAGACGCAGACGACGACGACGACGTCGACGACCAAAATAATGAAGTGTGTGCAAAAACAAAAAAGAACAAAAAAAAAAAAAACAAGAAGAGAAAAACAACAAAACTGGTTTATATTTTTGTACATACAAACAGACATCTCTACATTGTCTTTTCTTGTTTTCTCTTTGTTCTTGCTGTCTGTCCCCATTCGGTGAAAAATAACTGCAACTGTCAGCCGCTGTCGCTGTCGCCGTCGCAGTCGCAGTCGCAGTTGGCGCTGCGGCGCTGCAGCTGCAGCCTTGCCAGACCGGCCCAACTGATTCACGCCGCTCAGGGAAATGCTAGGAAAAATTCAAAGAAAACTTACCAATCCTGCTGCTCAAAACGCTCTTTAATCTTTCTCTCTAATGCAATTAATTACTATATCTAGTAGCTTAGCTAGATTTTTAATGCATTTTTCAGATTGATTCTAGATGGTGCTGCTAGATAGATATGATATACATGATGGCATAGAATTTAATCTACTAGAATTTATAATATGATAGAGTCAATGGCATTTGTTATATTTAAGAAACGTTCTTCAATTTCCCGAGTTCCTTGTAGGATTCTTAATGGAAAAGCCAGACTTGTGTAAGGTGATTTAAAGCTTTAGAGCTAGAGACAAATATTCTGAAGTGGAAATTATTGAAAGTAGTTAATCAACTTGACTTGACAATCGATGCAGATTTGTATCGTTATTTATCGATATCCATTATATAGAACCTATCTAAATTTCCATCTATCCTGCTCCACAGACATTTACCGCGTGGTGTAACAGTCATTTGCGTAAAGCTGGCACCGCCATCGACAATATCGAGGAGGACTTCCGCAATGGCCTTAAGCTGATGCTGCTGCTGGAGGTGATCTCTGGCGAGACGCTGCCCAAGCCCGATCGCGGCAAGATGCGTTTCCACAAAATCGCGAATGTGAACAAGGCGCTGGACTTTATTGCATCGAAGGGCGTCCATCTGGTGTCCATTGGCGCTGAGGAGATCGTCGATGGCAATCTGAAAATGACGCTCGGCATGATCTGGACGATCATTCTGCGCTTCGCCATCCAGGACATTTCGGTCGAGGAGATGACCGCCAAGGAGGGTCTGCTATTGTGGTGCCAGCGCAAGACGGCGCCCTACAAGAATGTCAACGTACAGAACTTCCATCTCTCGTTCAAGGTAAGAATGACGTTCGCTCTCTCCCCCTCTCTTTCTCTCTCTCCCGCTCTTTATATGAATAATCATTTGTGCTCTGCTTGCAGGACGGTCTGGCATTCTGTGCCCTCATCCATCGTCATCGTCCAGATCTGATCGACTATGCCAAGCTATCCAAAGACAATCCTCTGGAGAATCTGAACACTGCCTTCGATGTTGCTGAGAAATATCTAGATATTCCAAGGATGTTGGATCCAGATGGTATGTTGTTCCAACAGCTCGTCCTCCCTATGCCCTAGTTAGCCATAATGATCTTGTAATTAAGTTAAGTCTTAGGGCATTTCGTACATTGTAATGATCATACCTAAAATTGAAATTTAAATTCTCTTGATGCACATCAACAACGATGACCAACCAAACAACACACAGATTTAATCAACACTCCGAAACCGGATGAACGTGCCATCATGACGTACGTCTCCTGCTACTATCACGCCTTCCAGGGAGCCCAACAGGTTGGAAATGTGACGCATGTACCCGAACCCACAAGACAATACACCTACGTCCCGAATAATTACAATGTGACTAAACTTCACATCTCGATACACATAAATATGATATATCTATTCCATTTCTCGTTCTATATATATATACACCATTTGTATATATATATCTATCTATATATATATATACATATATTGCAGTTTGTTTTTTGGCAAACCATGAAAAAACATATGCCAAGACGCTGCCTTTGATGTTGCGCTCGTTGAAGCTTTGCTCTGGCCACGGCTGAAAGCTGCCAAAACAAACAAAAGCTCGCAAAGCGAAATCCGTTCACTAACAAACTCCACACTAATACGAGAAGAGGCGCGGGCATTGGTATTGGTGAGCTTTCGAAGCTCTTACAGCATGCACAGCCGTCGAGCCAATACATGTTTGCCATCTGTGTGAAAGCTCGCTCTCGCTCTCTCTTTCTCTCTGCCTCTCTCTCCCTAATCATTTGCTGTTGCTGCTGCTGCATGCTGCATTAATTGGAATGCAAATTTGATCTGATTCGGCTGATGTCAATCACATTGTACTATCACATTAATATACATATATACATATACATACATATATATATATATTACCGTTATCTTATGTATTATCCGTGTTATATATTATTCATACTTGATATCGCACTGGCCACTCGGACCATGCTCTGGCGTCTGCATTTTGGGAGAGCATTGCCCGAGTTCCTCTGCGCATTCCCTGTTCCATATCCATGTGCTCTAATCTCTAGGCATGCCTTAAGTTATGAATGTTAAGCTACTAACGCGCTCAATATGCGATACGATATTACGATATTACGATATTATTGTAAACAACTATTTTCTAGCTAAGCATAAAGAGCAGACGGCTACAGTGAAAGCTCGCAAAGTGAACAGGATATAAAATTAGTGATAAATAAATAGATGAATGAAGTAAGGCTTTAAATATTCAATCATAGAGTTTTGCATCTCAAAATTCATCTTGATTTAGTTAATTCAAGGAAATTCTTAGTCTACATACATGAAGTTAGCTGCGTTTGGTTTGGTTCCTTTGGGCGAGCTTTCACTGTACCGGCTGCTGACTCTGGCAGATACATAGATCTTATTGTAATTGTATATTGAGTGTCTGCCATATGCCAATTTGCCTGCCGAATTCACTAACCGAATAATTAATTCATTTGTATGTTTTGTTGCTTTTCTCTCTCTCTGTCTCTGTTTCTCTCTCTCTCTCTTATATCTACTTCTCGCGATTGCAAATGCGCTCATCAACAACGCCATTAACAACAACAACAACAACAACAATTACTCTGCTACCGCTACCGCTACAACAACAACAACAACGACTCTCCCAACAAATAATATGCATATCGAATCGATAACGATAACGATTACAACAACAACACCACCACCACCACCACCACCACCACCATCATCATGATCACCAACCACCAATCAATACATCCAACGATCATACACAGATTTGCAGAATACTGCATTGCCAGATGAAAGAGCGGTCATGACCTACGTATCATCGTACTATCACTGTTTCAGTGGCGCTCAAAAGGTCTGTTATACACGCACACACACACACACACATACATACCTATATATATATACATAGACCTCACACATCTACATTTTGCAAGAAAACCTTCACCGATAACAGTTATCGCTGAGTTATCGATCAGTTTAGAGTACAGCAGAGAGCATTCCATGTTCCGTTTCCAGCATTCCACCTACCAACGTTTCATATCGTGTCATGGCTAAATCCATTATTGCAGCAGTTTATGCCAGCTAAAGGTGTTTCATTCCATTTGTTTCAAGCGCACAAACGATCGTTTCATTCCACTTGGACCAGCTCTAGTGACATATGCAAACAGTTGATTCAATCGAATCTCCGATAGGCGTCAATCATGTTCTATTCCATTCCGTTCCATGCACATGCACGCATTCACAGACACACATACACCCACTTCGCTCTCTCTCTCTCTCTCTTTCTCCTTGACGCCCCGCAATGGAATTGAGGCCATCGACACATCGAAGGGAACTTTGCATCCTTTATACCCTGAGAACTTTGGGAACGCTGCTTGCGCCTGCTTTGAATGGTCTTTGATCACTAACGCTCCAATTGGACTTGCCTATATACATACCTATATACATACATACATAGCTTGCGCCGTTACGTTTAAATGTCTTGCTGTGTTCGTGCGTGCGTTCGTTCGTTCGTTCGTTCGTTTGTTTCGTTTTGTTTTGCTCTCAATTCATTCTGAGTTGGTATTCCGATCGACACTCAGAGTAATTGGCTGGCGCATCAGGGGTTTAACTAACAGAAATTCTTCCAAACTTGACAATCGGCAGGCGGAAACGGCGGCAAATCGTATTTGCAAGGTGCTCAAGGTTAACCAGGAGAATGAACGCCTCATGGAGGAGTACGAGCGTCTGGCCAGCGATGTAAGTGACCTCGATCCGTTTCATTTCGTTCGTTCGTTCCGTTCCGTTCCGTTCGCACCCTCCTAATGATGTTTCTCGTCCGTTTTGGCTTAGCTGCTGGAATGGATTCGCCGCACAATGCCATGGCTGAACTCGCGCCAGGCGGACAACTCGCTGGCCGGCGTACAGAAGAAGCTCGAGGAGTACCGCACGTACCGTCGCAAGCACAAGCCGCCACGTGTTGAGCAGAAGGCAAAACTCGAAACTAACTTTAACACGCTGCAGACGAAACTGCGTCTGTCCAACCGTCCAGCCTACTTGCCCACCGAGGGCAAGACCGTGTCTGATATCTCAAATGCCTGGAAGGGCCTCGAGCTGGCCGAGAAGGCGTTCGAGGAATGGCTACTGGCTGAGACCATGCGCCTGGAGCGTCTCGAACATCTGGCCCAGAAGTTCAAGCATAAGGTACGTTCACCCTGCAACTGATCCTGATGGGAGCTTTGTTTGACTTGCGATTCCATTGTCATAGGCCGATGCTCACGAGGACTGGACACGCGGCAAGGAGGAGATGCTGCAGTCCCAGGACTTCCGTCAATGCAAGCTCAACGAGCTGAAGGCCCTCAAGAAGAAGCACGAAGCCTTTGAGTCTGATCTGGCCGCCCACCAGGATCGCGTCGAACAAATCGCCGCCATTGCCCAGGAGCTGAAGTAAGTGCAGCTGTTGCCCCTCGACAAGTTTCGCGATAATCCTGTCCTACGCCTAATCCAGTGTCACACTGAATCTCTATCAATTTTATATTCAATTATTATCTCAATGCTAACCGCTGGGCAACAACGCAAAGTGTGAGGTTAGATTCGTTAGATCGTTGCGCCTTTGCGCGAGTCTTTATATCAAAATTCATATTCACTCACTCTTAACCATCTGCTTCCACGATCATCATCATTATCATCGTCTTACTTTGAGATTATGATTTCAATATCTTGAAATCGCTTAAACATTTCATGTTCATCAGCTCCATAGAGCCATATATCGCATGAGATCTAAATAAAGTTTTGGTAGATGCATTCCTCAGCAAAACCAATCTCAGGATTGACTCTAAGCATCAGGATTAAGTCGAAGAATAAGAGAATCCAAAGAATTTGTTTATATCAATAATCAATACGATCATCGCACTCATCATTCTTGATCATTAGCAATGGAATTCAACTATTTCATCATCATATTTGATCATCAAACATCAAATCATATGAAGATCAGCAAGGATCAATCGAAAAACCAATCTCAGGATTGACTTAAAGCATCAGTACTGAGACAAGATTAAGAGAACCAAGAGAATTAGTTTAGATAATCAACACAATCGTCACACTCATCATTCATTAGCATTAGCAATGGAGTTTAACTATTTCATGATGATCAAACATCAAATAAGATCAAGATCGAGTTTTGATAGATGAATTCCTCACCAATCTCAGGATTGACTCTATCAGTACTGAGACAAGATTAAGAGAACCAAGAGAATTAGTTTAGACAATCAACACACTCATCACACTCATCATTCATGGTCATTAGCAATGGAGTTAAACTATTTCATGATGATCAAACATCAAATAAGATCAAGATCGAGTTTTTATAGATGTATTCCTCGGCAAGGATCAATCTAAAGACCAATCTCAGGATTGACTCAATCAGTACTGAGACAAGATTAAGTGAACCAATAGAATTAGCTTATATAATCAACTTGATCATCCCGATCATCCCACTCATCACTCATGATCATTGGCAATGGAATTTCGACCATTTGATCTGGTGACTCGAACGCGACTCTAACACTTGCTTTGGTTCTTGCAGCACTCTGGAGTATCACGATTGCGTGTCGGTGAATGCGCGCTGCCAGCGCATCTGCGATCAGTGGGACCGCCTGGGTGCCCTGACCCAGCGCCGTCGCACCGCTTTGGATGAGGCTGAGCGCATATTGGAGAAGATCGACATCTTGCATTTGGAGTTCGCGAAGCGTGCGGCGCCGTTCAACAACTGGCTGGACGGCACACGCGAGGATCTGGTGGATATGTTCATAGTGCACACCATGGAAGAAATACAGGGCCTGATCCAGGCGCACGATCAGTTCAAGGCGACGCTCGGCGAGGCCGATAAGGAGTTCAATCTGATTGTGAATCTGGTGCGCGAGGTGGAGTCGATTGTCAAGCAGCACCAGATACCCGGCGGCCTGGAGAATCCCTACACGACCCTGACGGCCCACGATATGACACGCAAGTGGACCGATGTCCGCCAGCTGGTGCCGCAGCGCGACCAGACGTTGGCCAACGAGCTGCGCAAGCAGCAGAACAACGAGATGCTGCGCCGCCAGTTCGCCGAGAAGGCCAATGTGGTCGGTCCCTGGATCGAGATGCAGATGGATGCCGTGACAGCGATAGGCATGGGTCTGCAGGGCTCCCTCGAGGATCAGCTGCATCGCCTCAAGGAGTACGAGCAGGCCGTGTACGCATACAAGCCGAACATTGAGGAGCTCGAGAAGATCCATCAGGCCGTACAGGAGTCGATGATCTTCGAGAACCGCTACACGAACTATACGATGGAAACGCTGCGCGTCGGCTGGGAGCAGTTGCTCACCTCGATCAATCGCAACATTAACGAGGTGGAGAACCAAATACTGACACGCGACTCCAAGGGCATCAGCCAGGAGCAGCTGAACGAGTTCCGTTCCAGCTTCAATCATTTCGATAAGAATCGCACCGGCCGCCTGACGCCCGAGGAATTCAAATCGTGCCTCGTCTCGCTGGGCTACTCGATCGGCAAGGATCGCCAGGGCGACATGGACTTCCAGCGCATCCTGGCCGTTGTCGATCCCAACAATACAGGCTATGTTCACTTCGATGCCTTCCTCGATTTCATGACCCGCGAGAGCACCGACACCGACACCGCCGAGCAAGTCATTGATTCCTTCAGAATCCTGGCAGCCGACAAGGTGAGCACTGAACTGAACATGCCCATAATATTACTCTATACTCTATATAACGCGTATCCTTTCCGTTCAGCCATACATATTGCCCGATGAGCTGCGCCGCGAATTGCCACCAGATCAGGCCGAGTACTGCATCCAGCGCATGCCCCCCTACAAGGGACCCAATGGAGTGCCCGGCGCCCTGGACTACATGTCGTTCAGCACAGCTCTCTATGGCGAGACCGATTTGTAAACGCACTCGATCATCCACTCTACAAGCACACTTCACACAGACACACACACACAAACACACACACGAACACCCGCACACAAACACACACATACAGAGATATACACAAACACACACACACACACGCACTCACTCACTCACACACACAGAGAGCTCGTCGGGTGGCAATCAGGCCGCAAAAGAAAAAATCATATAATAATTGCTAAATTTTAATAATAATAATATTAATAAACATAGATTTATTATTATGCTACACTCGTAAAGCTTAAAATTCAAGAAAGATGAGAGAAACATTATAATTTTTTTGCAAATTATATATTGTACTTACTATGCATATATATATATATATATATCTCGATATATATCTCATACATTACATTACATTAAATTACATACATTACATTACATTGCATCCATCTTCTTCAAGCCAATTGTAAAACAGAATGAAAAACAAATGCATATCGAATATCTAAAAGAAAACAAAACAACAAAACATCTAAACCATTATTTTTTGAAATTTATGTTAATAAAACAAACAACAACAAAAACCAAAAAAAAAAAAAAAACAAAAACAAAAACAAAAAACAATCAAAACAAGTTCTATACAACACGAAAACTGTGGCAGTGGCACAATCGATAAGAGAGAGATAGATAGATGCACACTGAGAGTAAGACAGAGAGAGAGAGAGAGAGAGATAGGTTGAGAGACAGAGAAAGAGAGATACATACGAACAGCACACCAATAAAATGCACTAAAGAGAGCGAGCGAGCGAGAGAGAGATAGAGAGAGAGAGAGATGGCACTACATAATAGATGGAGTACAGGCAGAAAACATAACACTCTAAACACAAATGAAACAGCCAATAAAGTAAACTATATATATATACATATATATATATGTACATATATACACATATATGTATGTATGTATATACCTATTTATTCATGTAAAGAAACACGCTCATATTGTATTTATTTATTATATTTTTATTTTCCATTTAGTATCTCGGTTTTTCAGCATTACAAATTCAACTTGAAATATTGGACAATCTTACATTACACACACACACACAGTTAAACAGACTCACATATACGAGCAAGTGAAGTAAATAAACTATTTTTGGTGATATTGTGTTTTAATATGCAATGTCGATTTCATTTGGAATAAAGCGAAAAGAAGAAGCTTTAATACGAAATGGAATAAGAAATGGAATTTCGAAACTATAATTCAAAGTAGGATTTCAAAACCCCAAGTGGGAAATGGAATATCAGAACTAAGAAATTTTGAAGCTTGAATGCGAAATGACATTTGGAAGCTATTATCAGAAATGGAGCAATTATGCGAAAGGTGATTTCGAAACATCGGAATTATAAGAAGTAATACTTCAAAATTTTTGAAGATTTAATGGTAAATGGAATTTTGTAGCTGGTATGCGATAAGGAACCTCAAATCGATGACGTTTCAAAACGAAATCTAATATCGAAACTCAGAAATTGCGATGCAAAGCGGAATTTCGGATAAAAGAAATTTCGCAATTGTGATAAGAAATCAAAATATCGAAACTGCAAAACTCTAATGCGAAACAGCATTTCAAAATCGTTTTAGACTGAAATGCGAAATGGTGTTTTCAAATTTCGGTGCGATAATGCGAATTGGAATTCCGGAATCGAGATACGATGAAAATACAAGCGAGCTCTTACGAAATGTATTTCACGATTCAGCAGCTGTAGGCGCCCGGAGGTAGACTATACTAAAAGACATCGAATTTTCACTGGAAACTCGGTTTGAAATAGTTGCTGAAAAGTTCTCAAACCGAGACTTAGGCCTAGATAAAGATTTCACTCAATTTTCGGCTTTTATGTAGATATTTGCTGTGCAACAAAATCGCGCGCAGCTTTCAATTTATTTCAGATAAAAAGAAAAAAATAATGGGAAAAAAAACCAGGATTTGTATGTATATACAGAGCCAGCATATATAAATAGGATTTATTTTGAAAATGTTCTCGCAGCTGATTGGGATCCTTCTTTGCTTACAGGTCTATTCAACTGAATTTAACACATAGCTAAACGTAAGTAAAATTTGTATACAAGTTGTATTTCATAAAAGTGCATTAGATGATACAGGCACACACACACATACATACTGACGTACACACGTACACACACACACACACACACGCATGCACACGTGAAGGCAAAGTTTGCATCAATTTTGGTCCATTTGAATGGGCTCGTAGGACCCATGACATTTCGACGCATCAGTTGGACAAGTATATATATATGTATATATATGAATATATTATGTATATGTATATATAGTTTCTATGTCTATTAATAAATATGCATTTACTCTCTTTGCTTTTGCTTTTTGCAGGCTAAACGACAACCGAAATATACTCAACATTCATAATTTGATTTTTGTTTTCTTTTTCTATGTTTATAAATACATTTGCAATGTTTTCAACAACAACAATTGAATCTCTCTTATATATATGTATACATATAGATGCTGTATATATATATATACATATATATATGATCTATATCTTATACGTAATCTATTTTGTATGCATTCTGAAAGCTTTCAACGTGAGTGCGATTTATTGTTTTTCTTTTTCTTCGCTTTGTTTTGATAATTGATTTGATCGTCCTGTTGCCTTATCGATAAGGGATAGCCGATAACGATAACAAAATACCTATGCCCTAGTCTTAGAGAACGAAATGGAAACGGAACAGCAGAAATCGATGTAAATTGCAATGGTTTTTTTTTTCGTTTAATATATATATATATGTATGTATTTTGTTGTTTGTTTATTGATTATTTGTTGTGTTTGTATTTTGTTGTTTGTGTTTATGTCTGCGTATAAATATTTACAAATAATAATTGAAATGAAACATAAATTAAATTTATACTTATGTATATGTGTGTGTTTATATACATATATATTAATATATATATATATATATATCTGTGTGTGTGTGTGTGTGTGTATGTATGCATGTAAAATTGAAAAATAATTTCTATATGTAGCTTGGGTATTTCTTTTTTAAAACTCATTTTCTCTTCAATAATAACTAAATAATAATAATAATTAAAAAAAAAAACTATTCTTAAAATGAAAATTAACTCTAAGTTTTCTTCATAGGTTATGTGTGTGTGTGTGTGTGTGTGTGTGTGTCAGTAAGTGTGCGTGTGCGTATGTATGTATGTGTGTGTGTGTATTTGTGTTGTTGCTGTGTTATGTTTATAAAGAAACCAATCGATGCAGAGAGCTTAAGACAGATCACACAAACAAAAAGCCCCAAATGAGATCGCTACCCACAAAAGCGAAACCCAAGCGCAGCTGCTGCATTTCAGTTTCGACACTGTTGGCTAAATGAGTATATATATATATATATATATGTACATATATATTTATGTGTAAGCTGTAAGCATGCTCATTGAATGGAACACATTTTGGCAACTTTTCGTTTGTGTTCTGCGAAAGCGACCTTACTCTCTCTCTTTCTCTCTCTGCCTCTGTCTCTCCGTTTCTTGTTCTGTCCCTTGCAACTGCTGATCTATATCTATATATAGCCTATATATGTTTAATGAGAGCTATATAGTATTAGTATTATGTATGCTGGATGCTAACAACTAGCAATTTGGTATCTATAATACACGAATGCCCAGTTAATTTTCAACGTCTCGCTTACTCTCCTAAATGTGCTCTAAATCTAATAAAAAAATAGAATATGTATATATATATATAAATCCATATATATATATAAATAGTTATTATGTATGGTATTTCTGTTCGGATCTATCGTGTAACGATGTTAACTTTGAAGGTTGACTTAAAAAAAAAAACAAACACATGGTTAATTCATTAAAACACACACCGTATAACATAATACTAAATCCTACCAAGTATATATATATATATACATATGTATGTATGTATCGTATACATATATATATATATAAATATTGTAACAGCATATTTCTTTTGCTTCATCATGTTGTTTGTCGTTAAATTCTTCACCTCTTTCCTTCTCTTTCGCATCCATTTGTATAGTTTTCAACTCTAGCTGTATATATGTAAATATATATATATATATATATATATATATATAGAGATATATATGTGTGTGGTATATGCTATACGTAAGCCTAGTCTATCTTTAAGTTTTGTATATTCTCTTTCCTTTCATTCATCTCTCCTGCTTCCTTTGTGGTTGATTCTTATGGAATACATGCTTAGTCTTAAGCCTAATGAAAAACACCCTGACTCTGATCTCTGATCTGTGATCTAACCTCAGTTTCTTTCGCTCAACTTATCCTAGTAATATATCTTTTAAAATGCATATGCTTTTGCTTCTCCTATGCAAATTAGTTTCTGTTCGATTTGCTTTCCTTCACTGGCAGGATTTTGAGTTCCATCTCTCACGGCAGGCGCTCAGCCCAATCATCAGTCCTTGTGCCCGCCGGCATCTCCCGCTGATTTGCCACCGCCACCGCCGCCGCCGCCGCCGGCCATGTGCTGCGGAATCACCGTCAATGTTTTGGGTATCTTGGACATGATGACGTTGTCGATGAGCTTCTGCTGCTGCTGCTGTTGCTGCTGCTGCTTCAGGGTGAATGTGATTCCAGTGCCTAAGCCGCCGCCGCTGCTGCTCGTTGACGTCGTCGGCTTCCCAGTCGTATGCGACAGCTTGCTGGCCGCAGCTGCAGCGGCTGCGGCGCCGTTCAATAGATACTGATTGGCATCCGGAAAGTTCTTCCACAGCCAGGAGCTGTTGCTGTCCAAGCCGGCGGCGCCGCTGCTGTTGCTGGCAGCCGCCGTTGCCGCTGCCAGCGCATTGCTCAGCAGCGGCTGAAAGTTCGAGGAATTCGATCCAGTGGCATTGCCACCAGCAGCTCCTCCAGCTCCAGTGGAATTCTGTGGATTGCTCAGCGGCGGCATCGGCTTGGGCGCGAGCCTTGCCAGCCGCAGGGAACTGCCAGTGCCGACTCCTCCCTGCTGCAACGTGGGCAGCTGCTGATACTTGTGTTGCTGCTGCTGTTGCTGCAACTGTTGCAGCTGCTGGCGAGCCGTCTGCTGTGCAGTCATTTTGTTCATGCCAGCAAAGCTCTGCGATTGCTGCAACGCCTGGTGGTGCTGCTGCTGGTGCTGTTGTTGCTGTTGTTGCTGTGAGTGCTGCTGCTGCTGCTGTTGGCTCGCCTTCGGCTTGGCGTTCGCCTTGAGCACCTGGTCGCGCAGCAGCTTCTCGCGCCGCAGTATGCACATCCGATTGTAGTCAATGATGGAGATTAGGTATGGCTTGCCGCCGGACTGCACCTGCACCTGGGCGGGCAGACGCCGTCCGTCGGCCGTTTGGAAAAGCGTCGGCGATTTGCTGGGCACTTTGTGCTGCTCCTTGAGCGGTATCAGCGTCGGCTTCCAGCTCTTGCTCTCCTGCCGCTCCTGCGGCGTCAGCGTGTCCGGCAGCATTATCACACTGGGCCCCGGCCCACCAACGCCTGTGCCGGAGGATCCCGTACGCGGCAGCTGCAGCCGCTTACCGGCCAGCGCTGGCAGCGCCGCCGTGGCAGTGGCGGCGCCACTCGTGCGTCGTCGCTGCAAACTAATCAATTCGGGCGGCGAGCTAAGCAGCAGCGCCACATTCGGGTTTATTTGTGGTTGTCCAGCTGTGGGCGTGGCACTGACCAACAGTGGCTTCGACTTGACCTGCTGCTGCTGTGGCTGCGGATGTGGATGCAGGTCGCTGTGGCTCTGGCTGCCGAACTGCTTGTTGGCCATGTGCTTCTCGCCGGATGCAGCGGGCAGCTTGTGATTGGGCTGCTGCTGCTGCTGCTGTTGTTGTTGTTGTTGCTGTTGTTGTTGCTGCTGTTGTTGTTGCTGTTGCTGCTGTTGTTGCTGTTGACTGACAAGCGGCACAATCTCCACCGCCTTGTTCATGCCCAGCAGATTGGTCTTCAGTATGCTGCGACTGTTGGACGCACTGGTGGGCACCAGCGGCGGAGCATCCTTCGAGTGCACTGTTTTGCCCGGCGAGTCATCGCCGACGGTAACAATTGGCGTCGCCGCTGCCGCAGAGACACTGCCACTCGAGCTCTTGGCGCTGTCTTTGGGCCGCGCTATGATTGTCACCGCATTGGAGCTGAGCTGCTTGGTGAGCTTGTCCACGGAGACGTTGCGCAGGTTATCGAGCGGGAGCATTTCGCACTCATCCTCCTTGTCCATGTCCTCGTCCTCGTCATCGTCATCGTTCAGCTCCACCAATGGAATGACGGGCTCCGGTGGGCCAGAGGATGACTGATCCAAGCCGCTGTGACTGTTGTTGCCAGTGGCCTGAGGTGCGGTCAGGGCGCTGGCCAAGACGCTGCCGCTGCTGGCATTGGGCGAGCTGGAACCGCTGGCATGATTGGCTGACGGGTTGGCGGCATTCGGTGAGGAGGATGTCGACGACGACGAGGAGGAGCCAGCCACGTTGACGACGGCATCGGCGGGCACTGCACTGCCGCTGGCATTTTGTGCCTTGGCATTGCTTTGCAGGCCACCGCAATGGCCGTGATCGTAGGAATTGAGGCGTTGACGCACCGTTTGCGTGTAGACGCTGGCATTGGAGGAGGCGTGCGCGGCCAGCACCAAATCTCCATTGCGATAATACTTCTCCAAGAGTATGAGATGGCGCAGGAAGGAGCTCTGATTGCCGTATGGCTTCTGCAGCTCCTCCCAGAGGCGGCGCGTCGGCTCATCGTACTGCAGGAAGGTTTGAACGCGCGTCCAGCCCTCGGGCGTGCGATGGCTGCTGCTGCAGCCAAACGGCACCTTGAACTGCACGCCCAGATCCTCCTCGCCGTGAAACAGTTCGCGCATCGAGATGTTCGGATTGCCCCGCAGCACATTCGAAATGTCGGCGCCTGCCTTGCTCTTCGCACCCGCACCCGCACTCGCATTGGCATTGGTATTCGCATTCGCATTGGAATTCGAATTGGAATTAGAGGATGCGGCATCCGCAGTTAGATTCTGCTGGAGTATGGCCTGCAGCTTCGACATTTGCTTGCTGGCGTTGCTCGCATGCCCGATGGGCGTGGTTGAGGAACTGCTCGAGTTGGAATCGGTGGGCCCGTCATAGTCTACCACCATGGGCAGCTCGCTGGAGGCATCATCACATGCAGCAGTTGGAGCCGTGCCAGCGCCCGTTGCAGTCGGGGCATCCTCCTCATCCACCTCGGAGGCCTCGTTGCTGCCCTCCTGCAGATTGTGGACCTTGAGCAGCCTGCGGAATGGATTATCGTGTTATAGAACATCACTTCAATCCGATTGCAAAGCAATTTCTTACCTCTTGCGATAGTTCTTGACAAACTCCGCCTTCTGGGATTTGGTACTGTCCGGCGGTTTCATCAGCAGATTGGCAAAGTACCGGCACAGCTTGCAGACGGCGGTGCCGACGCCCAGCTGCACGGGTATACCCATCTCGCTGAGCGCCTTCTCCAAGCGATCTGTGTCCTGCTGAGAGATCAAAATTAGTGGGCTGCCGAGCTGTGACCTGACATCGTTGCTTACCGAGGTAATATGGTACATGTGATTCTTGCCCAGGCGGCGCTTGCACAGCACACAGCCCGAGGACTGGATGACCGTGTTGTAGTGCGGCTCACAGAGCCAGACGCTCGAGGTGCCCGGCGGTATCTCGAAGTTGAGAAGGCACTTCTTAAGGCTCTTGCGCACGCATTTGCGCCGCAGCGAATGGCTGGCCGCATCAGCACAGTCCTTGACGGCGCATGCACGTTGTGCCGCCGTTCCAGAGCCGGAGACGGCGCCGGCGCCGGACGAAGTCGAGGCAAATTCCGCATCGGTCGCTTCGCCCGCAAAATGTTTATCCATGCTGTTGCCGTTGCCGTTGCCGCCGCCAGTCGCGGCACCCGTCTCCAGGTGGCCAGGCGCGGAGAGGCGCTTCTTGTAAGAGGGCGCATTGGCACGCCGGTCCACATGCCGGAAACAGGCGTCGCACAGGCAATTGTCCACAGTCAGCTTCTCCTCATCTGCAAGGCAAACTGAATGAGTAAATCGCCAAAATTATAGCAAGCCCTCGCATGCCACCTACTTGCGAGTATCTTCTGCTGACGCTCCACAGACTTGATCTGGCCCACGTGGCAGGGCGTGTCGTACAGTCCGAATTTGCCGCTGCAATAGTAGCACTGATCCTCGCACAGGCGACCGGGATGGAACTTGAATGAGGACGCCTTCTCCGGTATCAGAATCTTCTCCTTCTCATCTTTCTTCACCATCTGATAGAAGCCGTGCTCCAGCTGGCCGCCCTGACCCTCCGAGTGCGATGAATCTGTGTGCACACAACAAAACGTATTTACATATAGATGTGAACGGAGGATCTTACAGGAAGTTAGACTAAATAAAAAGTTTAATTAGTTACAGCCAATATCAGCCAGCAATTGAAGAGCCCCAACTGGGCGGATTAATACTGATTAAGTAATTGTCTGGTATGGGAAAAGTGGGAGCTAAGTGGAAGTTACGTTAGTCACAGCTAAGCCCTCGATTACTGGGTACTGGAGCTGAAACTAGACTATATTTAGGTCTGATTAAGAGGGTGTTAATCGAAGGCTATTAAAAATTAAATAAACGGGAATAGACTTGGATTAACTATTAGGAAATGAGCAACTAACCAATAGAGACTACACCTAGTCTAGTCTCTCTATATTTAGATCTGATTAAGAGGGTGTTAATCGAAGGCAATTAAACAAATTAATTAACAGGGAATAGACTTAGATCAACTATTTAGCAATACCAAATTAACTAATAGAGATTACAGTCTAGTCTAGTCTCTATGTTTTGATCTGATTAAGAGGGTGTTAATCGAAGGCAATTACAAATTAATCAAGACTAGTCTATACTTTGTAGATATGAATCTGAATCTACGAATAAAGTTTATACGAGACTTGGACCTATATCAAGTTTAACTAATAGAGACTACAGTTTAGTCTAGTCTCTATGTTCTCTAGATATCATTAATATCAAAGTATTAAAGGGAATGCTAGATAGAGACTATACTAGACTTATATCAAGTCCAGGACTAATGTTAGATTTACTAATAGAGACTAGACTATAGTTGGATGATGGAGCATCAATCGAAGGCAAACGAAAAACAAAAACAAAAACAGAAACAAAATCAAAAACAATAACAAATGCAACACTCAAACAAACGCTCGGCCACCAACCCAGGGAATTCTTGGAGGACGCATTGTTGTGCTGTTGGTGTTGTTGTTTTGCTGTTTGTTGTTGTTGCTTTTGCTGCTGATGCTGCTGCTGTTGCTGCTGCGGCTGCGGCTGCTGATTGTTATTATGGTTGTTAAATCGGTTAGTTGTCTTGCGTCCCGCGTTACCCGCATTATTCAAATTGTTTCGATTGCCCGCACCTTCGTTCTGCAAGTGGAAAAGAGATTTAAGAAGGGATTAGCCAATGATCTGAAGGTCCACAGCTCCGTTAGCGGACTTACCTCATTCTGTATGGTGTAGTAGGAGTCCTCGGCGTGGGCTCCGTGCTGATCGGCCGCACGATCGGTGGCGCCATGGCCGCGTGCGCGTCCCTTTTGGAATGTCATCTTGAGCGACTGGCGACGGACGCCGTGCGCCGAGCTGCTCACATTGCCGGCGATGCCGCTTTTGCGTGTGGCGCTGCCCATGTTGCCGCTGCCGCTGCCGCTTCCGCTGCTGCCTGAAGCCGCTGTGCCGCTCGTGGCAGTGCCTCCAACCGGACAGATGGCGGCGCCGTGCACCACAGTGCCAGTTGGCACACCAGCGGCGCCGCCTGCACCGCCATTGCTGCTGCGGTTCAGCTTGATGACGGTCTTCAGCGTGCCGCTCGACTCGATGTGCGATGCACTGCCTCCCTTGCCCGCCGATCGCTTGCCGCTCTGCTGATGCTGATGCTGGTGGGGATGCACGGCACGCGTGTGAGTGTGTATGAATTCCTGGCGCACCTGTTCGGCGGCCTGGTGCGTGAGCAGGCCAAGGTGCTGGAGGTGCCGCTCCTTTTCGCGGCGCAGCTCCTCGTCGCCGTCCAGCGACAGCTTCAGCTTGCCGTTGGATTCCGCTTTGGACAACTGTTGCTTCTGTTCAGCGGCGACGGCGGTCAACGGCTTCTCCTCATCCAGCTCGGATAGCTGCTCCTGCTCCACCTTGTTGCCCGTCTCCGCTTTCAGGGCCAGCTCCATGTCCATCACGGACTCGGGACTGACTGGCGCGGCAACAGCAATCGCATCTGATGTTGCCGTGGATACGTTCTCCTTGTTCTCCTCGGGATACTCGCTGCAGTCTTCGGCGGATAGGCATGGCATATCGGTGTCGTCATCCGCTACAGCATTCACTTCCGCTTCCTGCTCCTCGGTGAGGGGCTTAATGTGCAATGCAGCCAGCATTTCCCTGCTCAATTTTTTCTTGGACGCCTCTGACAGCGACTCCAAGTCAGACTCTAACTCCGCCTCCGGTCCAGTATCACATTCCTCAATGGACGTCATCAGGTCCTCCTTGTCCTGCTCTTGATTGTGCTGGCTGGCGCTTAGCGCATTTCCGCTGGCATCGACGACGCCCTCCTTGGCCAGCTGCTCCATAATGTCGCTTTCATAGTCATCTACATCGTTGTCAGCTTTCGCCGCCAGTTCATCCTCTTTGGCCTCGCCATTCAGCTCGCTCGGCAAGCTCTTAGCTTTAGTTGCAGTTTCTACAGCGGCTTCCGGCTTGGCTATCGTTGACGCCTTCTGCGTCTCCAGATCCGTGTCATCGCTCTCGTCAACGCGCAGCTCATCCATGGTCGTTGTGCTGGACTCATTCAGTTTATCCTCCAGCTCCGATTCCGGTTCTAGTTCAAGCGGAGATCCTTCCGCCGGGACCGGCTCCTCGTCAGCCGTGGAGGCCACAGCTACAACTGTTGTTGTTGTCGGCGTCTCTGTCTCGCTTGCAATTTGAACAATCTCGCCCAGCTCGGGATCCTTCTCGATGCCCAGATTGTTGGCCAGGAACTCGGGTTTCTTATAGAACTGCTTAACGCTAATCGCGCTGACGCCTTCGCTTATCAGCTCAGGACTCAAGGACGGCGCCTTGCCATCCTCCATCAACTCGGCCCCGGCTTCGGCGTCGCCTTCGCCGTCGGGCACCGTCCCTGTCTTTTGTCGTGAGTCCTCCGCAGCAGGCTCGATGTCCACGGTCAGCGGCTCAATGCCATTGGCTGCAGCAGCAGATGTGGATGCAGCCACTTCCGACTCTGGCTCCATGCTCTTCTCATCGAGCGTCTCCTCGAAATCGTTTACTACCTTCTCCTGCTTGATGTCTTCGACAGCTAGCAAGTGCTCGTCCATGGAGATCGATGTCACACTGTCCTTGGAGTCCTCGTCGCCAGCTGGGCCGCTCGTCGTGCTGGCGGCCAGCGAACTGGAACTAACCGATGCGGCCTTGGTGGCCAGCAGACTGCGATTCGCCGATCCCACGCGCCGTCGCTTGGGCGGCGCTGGCTCGGCGGGCGCCGATGTCGGGGTATTCGCCGTTGCGCCAACTGGCAGCAGACCCGGGGAGCCCGCTTTGCTGTTGCGCGTGGCACGCGTGCTGGCTGCCGATGTGACGGGCGTGACTTTCGTCTGCGGCCTGCCACGTCCGCGTCGATTTCCCGATTGTGTTGCGGGCGTGGGTGCGGCCGTAGCTGTGGGCGTAGGTGCCGCAGTGGGCGTGGCAGAGCGAGACTGAGAGCTCTGAGCAGAATGTTCCTCACCGTCCGGTGGCTCCAGCTTGATGGTCAACGTGGCCTTGGGCTCATCTGCAGCATCGTGTTCGTCCTCCTCTACCTTGACGTCGACCTTGGCGAACTTGAGACCCAGTTCGGCATCATCGTCCGAGCGCTTCCGCTTGAGCACCTGGTGCTGCTGTTGCTCCTTGGGCTCTGGCGGAGCGGGCTTTTTTCGACGACCGCGCGCCGGCAACGCGGGCTCATTGTTAACCGTCGATGATTGTCGACGATTGCGGGTGACCCGTGTGTTGTTCTTGCTGTTGCTGTTATTGTTGTTGTTGGCCAACGCCAGCTCCTGTGCGTGCGCTTTGCGTGTAACGCGATTGCACGTAGTTGATGCTGGGGCTGTTGTAGTTGTTGTAGGCGTTGGTGTGGTTTCTTTCTCCTTCTCCTTCTCCTTATCTTTCTCTTTACAGTCCTTGGTGTCCTTCTCCTTCTCCTTATCCCTATCCCTATCGCTTGGCTTTGCATTGGTATTGGCATTGTCTTTTGTGTCTTTTGTTTCCTTCGGCTCGTTGGCCGCCTCCTGCTCGAGCATGTCAATGGCATCGCTGGCTTCCTCCTCCTTGACCAGCAGCTCCTCCGCTGGCTTAGCGGCTGCTTCTTTGGCTTCTTTTACCTCTTTAATCGACTTGCGTGAACGTGGCAGCTGCGACGAGGTTTTCTGGCTGCTGCCGCTACCACTGGGCAGCTCATCGCTATCGCTGCCAATCGGCGTCAGTCCAGAGTCAGTGGCGTCGCGTGCCTCCCGCTTGGATGTGGGCGACGAGTTGAACAACATCAGCGGCGACGAATGCCGTGTAAGGCGCACGCTCTTTCCTGTCAGAGCCTCGGAGTAGACTCTGCGCGGGGTGCCGCATTCCGTTACCAGAGGCGAGGGTTCGTCTGATCGTTCTGGTGTTCCGCTTTCAGAACTTGGTTCCTTGTCCGTGAACGGTTCAGCTTCAGCTGCATCTTCATTGTGTGCTGCTGCAGCTATTGATGAGTCTTTTCCTGTGGCTGCTGCCGCCGCTGCACCATCTTCGCCCTGCGCCACGACTACCTCAACTGCTGGCGGTGCATTATTGTTATCCACCTTTGCCCCTGCTGCTGCCGATGCTGCTGCCAGTGGCTTACGCGCCGACATCCTCGAGCGGTCACTGGGCAATGTTGCTGGTGACGCTGCAGTCGATGATGTCGACGCTCCTATTTTGACGATGCTTGAGCTTCGTTGCTAGCCGGCTGCTCCACCAGATCCAGCTGCAGCTGCTGCTGCTGTTCCTGCTCAGACCGAATCTTGAAAGTCTCTAGCTGCACTTTAACACACTTTAAGTCGTTGTGATTTGGTCCCATTTGTTGACTACCTGCGAAATATTGTTATAAATACATACATATTATTTAATTACAAACTAAACATGAAACGTTGATTGAATATCAGTTACTTTCTCAATTTACAGTTAATATTACAAATATTGCACATACGCCATGTTAACGTTACAAAAGATCTGTAACCCCGCAAGGCAACAGGCGGCAGGAACAGGAAAGGGAAACGTGTTAAGAGCTGTGTTAAAATTGCAAAATATTTATATGCACACACACACGCGCACATACATATCGCAATTACACCCCGTCAACATTTGATGCCCCTCCTTCACAAATGGTAGCCAAAAAGCAAAACGAGTTTGAAAGCAATAACTACAACAATATCAGCAGCAGCTGGGGCCGCATGAAAAAAAACTAACATTTGGAGCTACTGAGAGCGCAGAGTATACAGGCATTCAAATTGTGAGCGCAACAAATTCATTGGCAGAAAGCGAATTTGGAGCGTCGCTGTCAACACCAACTTAACCGAGCACAAATTGCCAACACAGTAAACAAAAGAAAACAAACAAAATACACACACACACACTTACACATAAATACAAAATAATAAATTAAAAAATAATAATAATAATAATAAAGTAAAAGAAACACGATTAGCATTCAGGCTGCTGATCCTGTCACTTTATTGGACGCAATAAACGCAGCGACGACGCGCGTGTGAGATGATAGGCGCCATTTTTTTTGCGTTGCCTGCCAATAGAGGGCAGCACAGAGCGCACTTGGCGAGAGAGTAACTAAATTTGTTGGTTTGTTAAATTGTTGTTGGCAATATGCATGCACAGCACAGTTGGGCACTCTGTTTTTCATTTGCAGCGAAAATCTCGAGCACGTAAAACACGACCTTCGCCTGGCGTGTGCAATTCTTGGGCTGCAATTGTATAAGCAAAGCACCAGCAGCATAAATACAGGAGAAAATCTGCCTCCATTTCCCACTTCCACTTACACAAGTACAGAGCACAAAACGGATTTAACGTCACTCTCACACACACACTCAAATTTAGTGGGAACGATGTTCACAATCTCACGTACACTAACGCAGCACTGTGCTCTTCATCGTAAAATGACAAGCCGAAGCCGCCACCACCCTCTGCAACGAAGGCGGTGGAAGTTGAAACAGAATTGACAGCGACAACAAACAGCGAATAAAGGAAGCAAAAGCAAATCGCAAATAACAAAATCAAAATGAAGTATACATATTAATGAAAAAAAAAGAACACATATATTCACACACATACATACCAGGGGTATGCAAAAAAAAAAAAAATAGAATCAACAGAATTGAGCCTTAATGCTGTAGTAAACACACTTATAAGCGCACGGGCACGTATCGGCAGCGGTCCCGGGCATTCGGCCCTCTGTAAGCTATTTTATGCTCTTTCGTTTTGTTTTTTTTTTTTTTTTTCGATTATCAAATTTCCGACTCTTACTTTCAATTGAGTTGATAAAAAAAATAGGAAAGAACAGCCGTTTATATTTGTTTAAAATGTTTGTTCGATCAAATCTGGCTTCTACTTTTATGCTGTTGCACAGCGTTGCCGCACACAGAGATGTAGGGGTAAAAATATCGATAGCCTGAAGAGTATCGTTTACCACATCGATATCTGATTTTTCACCGTTTCGATGCTTTATGGCTGCGAAAATTGCTACATTTGCAAATATAAAATCAAATTAGAGCGGATCACTGACAGGCAATCTACAACCATTGAAAAAATGCATTTGCCTAACTTTATGCTGGGTACATGTCATGGAAGGATATGAATTATCAGTTTTTATGAGGAATGCACGTGCTGTGTTCGCAATCGTGCAGAACTGGATCACGGCTAGATCAAGTGAGAAAATGGCCAAGGAGGTGTAGTCAGATAAAAACCCAAAATTTCCAGGCTGATTACTACAAAATAACATATTTAATATTGATATATTTACTAAAAATTTATAAACGCATCGTTTCACATTAAGAAACACAAATGAATCAATCGTAAAAGTATGTAAACAAATAAATTGCAAAAATTGGCAACTTTGTTGATCAATTGCCTTTTTGCTTTTGCGCTGAAAATGTACAATTTAAGGATTTACTTTTACAATATTTGGTCACACTGAAGCCACAAATTTGCGCGTTTTAAGATATTTTGAATTTGAATAAAATTCTTTAATTATTCGTTGGGTTACATTACGTTTGAATTTGCAAATTTATTAAAAATTCAAAATCAAGAAACGCGCCTAGATGTTATTTAAGCCGGAAGGCTAAACCTGCTTGCAGGTGGCCGGGTTACGCAGCTGCACAGAAGATTCACCTGCCACAGATGAAGAGCAGCATTTGAAAAGGGTACACCAGTTGATTTACTTGTTAGGTCGTTGGTCATAAATAAATTGGCAAATTAAATTATTCCGATAGCATTGATTTGATATTTTTAGGCAAATCGTTTTGGTTTTTTGACTGTTTATATGATTTTTGAATTTTCTTTTAATTATGCATGGGAGCATTTGTGTTTGCGAATGATTTGCCATATACGCATACTTGCGAAGATTTCGATGTATGTGTGCATGTACATAAACAGCTCTCGCACGCACACCCGAGCAACACATGCACACACATTCAGACACCAACATACACAGCGGGCACATAGCCACAACGACGATACTTACTTAATTCTCTTTTTTCAGAGTCGCCTTCGCATCATTTGCGAATTTTCCGCATTTATTGTTATTCAATTGTACCGAAATCAATCCGCAATCGTTAATTAATTCAAAGTCGATGGAAACGCGGTCAGTTTGATATACAAATGTACGAAAAAACTGCACAATCCAAAGCAGAGAAAAACAAAAAAAAAATAATAATAATAAAATAAAATGCAGAACCCGACCGACAGAGTTGTGAACGCAAACACGGTACGAAGTGAAATAACAAGGCAAAATGGCAGCGCACAACACGCCAAAGAGAGCGAGAGCGGACAAGAGAACAAGAGAGCGTCGTCAAAGCGGCGAAATATGTATTCGCCGCTGACTCTGACTCGACCACATGTAAGTACTATCTCTGAGATACATTTATACCCTACTTGAAAGCGAATAATGTATGCTTTCAAAGGATCAAAATTAATTATTTCCGCAATATTTGCGTAATTAATCAACCACAAAACTGGAGAATGTAATAATATCGAAATATATCGTATGACAGCTTCTACTTATAGCATAACATTTATGGAATATGCCTTAGACACACATACATACGTACGTATGTTTTCTCGCACTGGCTAGCAGTTTTTGACAACAGATTTAAAAAGTTTGACAACTTACTGTAAATGTAGGGCACGCACAAGTCGCTGTGAACTCAACAATTGTGTACTTACTCGTTTTGTGCTCTGCTGCTTTGCTGGTTTTGGCCTGCTGCACGACATCGACTGCAAGGACTACAGTTAAGAGCAAGCGCTTCGTTTTCGGCTGGGGGTAGCAATAAAACTAAAACTAAGACTTTCAAGAAACTTATGGCACATATTCAAGCATACAATACTCAGATGTTCTCCGATCGGCCTGATGTGGTTGCTGAGTTTTCGCTGTGCCTTTTAGTATGCAAATTCATTTATTCATATCGCTTTTGTAGCTGATTTTCTTTAACAGTTGCTGTTAGTGCTGTTGCCGCCGCCGCCGCCGCCACCTCAGTTGCTGATATTGCCGATGTTGCTGCTGGGACTGTCTAGTCTTGTGTTATTTTGGCGTATTTGTTGTGTTTTAATGGGATATGAAATTATATTTTGATTGAAATATGGCACAAGCTCGAAAGTACTTTGGAACGGATGAATTTTGATGCTTTTCTTTTTTATCACAGCAGACCAACCATTTAACTATTACAATATACATACATACATGTACATGTTTATATTCTGTTATTGCTTTAGGTATTTGTATTGGTATACGAAAGCATGATGAAAGCACACGATGTTTCTCTTTCGCTGTTTTCTTTTCAATTATTTTTCTTTTATTTATATTTTCTTTTTCTTGCTTTTTGTTTTGTTATTGTGGCGCCCTCGAGCTGGCGACGCGTTTTGAAGTGGAGAATCCTGCAAGTGGCAGGCTAAGAGTCCAGTTTTCCTTTTTATGACAACACACACGCACATACGCACGCAAAAAAAGGAAAGTGCAGGTGTGTGTGTGTTATATGGGTTAAAGGCCAACTTAATTGCCCTGCAAATTGCTCATTGTGCCACTTGAACGTGAGCAAAGGGCAGAGGGAAAATCAATAGACCACTATATGTACATATCTCGGCGTCTATTAACAATAATTGTATTTCAACAAAGGTATTTTCACAAGTGCAGGTCATGTCAACCCCATTGAACACGCTTTCAACTGGGTCAAGGTCAAAAGTATGGACCAAACTAGGACATTGCGTAGCTCCATCTCTGCCTGCGCTGCCAGCCTACTACACTGATGTAACTGCTGCGCATGCAAAAGCTGCTGGCAGTTAATATTGTAAAAAGTCAAGGATACTCTTGGCCAGCAAGGATCAAGATGTGCTGAAGTTTTTTCTTAGTTGTGATCGACATTGAATTGCATAAATATAATATTTATAACCTTAATTGCGTATATATAGCTATTTTTAAATCTATACCTATTCCTCCTTTAATAGAAAAATAAATTTTGTTATGTAAATAAAGATCTGAAAACAATGGCAGCAAACATATCGATAAATTAGTGCACAAATACATTCGTTATTTATGTAGAGACAAACACACGCACACATATTCATACGCACGCAAAATCAAGCACATGACACACATGCAGCCGTGCATATGGATGTACATACATACATATGTATATGCATGCATATATACATACATACATATGGATGGAAAAAGTCGCCTTTTAATTGTTTTCTGCAGGCTTTCGCAGCACGCCCACTCCACTGATTTCACCTTTAAATGCCTGTTTATACATAGAGTAATTCATATAAATACATGCATACGTACATATGTATGTGTGCATATAAAAATATGGCAAGTAGAAACTGTGGGCTCTGGCAGACACATTAATGTACATACATACATACATACATAGATACGAACATGTACATACATTCGCCGCACACACACGCTTGCAAATGTATATGTGTATGTATTTAAGCGCTGAAGGCAACAGAAATTGGAAAACGCAATGGCCGACAAACGCCACGCAGCTATCAGCCATGAATCTCAAGGTAAAACAGAAGCGACAATATGCGAATATCAATGGGCAGGCATAATGCACAACAATAAACGGATGAAAAATGAAAAGAAAACTTCCGGCAGAGCTCAAGCTCAACACTAAATGGTGAAAAACACATACACACACTCTCATACATGCTCAATATTCGCCCAGACTAAGAGAAACCAAACCCATATTCATGCATTCGTTTGGAAACCCACGTGAATCAGAGAGCAAGAATCATTTAGAACAGAAAATATATGGAGGAATCGAGAGAGCGAGAGAGAGAGAGTCGGGGAGAGTGCGAGCGATGTGATCGCGATTGCGAGATGTTTGCGGCGAATTCAGAGAGTTTTCATAAGCATTGTTGTTGGTTAATTTTCTTTATTTTCGCCATGAGAAAAGCCAAGTACCTTTGTATTTTTAATATACGCATACATATCTATATGTAAAAGCACATTTAACATTTGAATATGCATTTTACACATACTCATGCACATGAGTATATTTGTGTGTACATATATAAGCATGTGCACGAAGTGCTTTCGGCTGACGTGCTGTTTATTGCTCCGTTTCTCTCTCTCTCTCTTCGTCTTCGTCTGCTTTAGCCGACATGCCAGCGTCATTTATACGCCATATTGGATTGTCTGAGAACGCCATCGGCGTTTTTCTTTTGCTTTTTATGACCCCTAAAGCTGACCTTAGCAACAATGCTACCTATCATTCGAAAGCTAAACCTATGAACTTTATGTTTTAAGGCAGAAATGGTTCATAAAAGTCATTTTAATTTGCAAGAATTGGCATGGAAATTGTTGGCAATTAACATTTGTTGTCGCATAACCAAGAGTTGCCAGAATGGTGAATGACAGCACTGGCAGCGCTGTCAGCTGTTGCCTCACACAAAACACCTGGCAGCTCTGTGCAGGAACAGGGCTGGCTCAACGCCGGCATACAAAATAGAAATCGGGAAATAATAAATAAAAATTTACAAAAATGTTATTCAAAGCGCTTCTACTGGTACTTGCTATTATACAAATCAGCGCCGAAGAATATGTAAGTAAAGCGAAAAAAAACAGTGAAAAGGCAGCTTAAACAATTGCTCTGACTCCCATTTATAGGACACCGCAATACTGCCAGAAGCCTATATAGATGCCGCTGAACGCTCGACACATACGAACAACTGGGCCGTGTTGGTGGATGCCTCGCGTTTCTGGTTCAATTATCGTCATGTGGCCAATGTGCTGTCCATTTATAGGTCCGTCAAACGCCTCGGCATACCCGATTCGCAGATCATTTTGATGATTGCCGACGATATGGCCTGCAATGCGCGTAATCCGCGACCCGGCCAGGTGTACAACAATGCGAATCAGCACATCAACGTGTATGGCGACGATGTGGAGGTTGATTATCGGGGCTACGAGGTGACCGTTGAGAACTTTGTCCGGCTGCTAACGGGCCGCACTCAAAACGGAACAGCACGTTCCAAGAAATTGCTCTCGGATGCGGGTAGCAATGTGCTCATCTATTTGACGGGACATGGCGGCGATGGCTTTCTGAAATTCCAGGACTCCGAAGAGATAACCAGCCAGGAACTGGCCGATGGCATACAGCAAATGTGGGAGAAGAAGCGGTAAGAATATAAAATGAAAGTTCAATCTGCTGGCGCTTAGCCCCTCTTGTCTGTTTTCAGCTACAATGAGCTTTTCTTCATGGTGGACACTTGCCAGGCGGCGTCGCTGTACGAGAAGTTTATATCGCCCAACGTATTAGCTGTAGCCAGCAGTCTGGTCGGCGAGGATTCGCTATCGGTGAGCAATGGCGCCTGCTGCGTTTGACTCAGATTTGTTTATAATAACTGTATGTATTTGGCAACAGCATCACGTCGACCCCTCGATTGGCGTCTACATGATCGATCGCTACACCTACTATGCACTTGAGTTTCTGGAGAAGGTGCAGCCCTTTAGCAAGCGCACAATTGGCGAATTTGTAAGCAGCCAGTGTGGTCCTCATCGTGGCTTATTCAATAGTTTCTTTTGCCTGTTTGCAGTTGCAAGTGTGCCCCAAGCGCGTCTGCATCTCGACTGTCGGCGTTCGCAAGGATTTGTACAGACGCGATCCGATGAAAGTGCCGATCATAGATTTCTTTGGCGCCATACGACCAACACGCGTATCCACCGGGCGCATCAATGTAACGCTGGCCAACGAAGAGTATGTCTTACTATATAACTAAACTAGATACAGTATATTAATATTCATTGACATCCATCTTGCAGGGACTTCACCGATGTCGCCCATATCCAACCAAAGAAGCAGTTCAAGATCGTCGTTCAGCCGCAGTTTATAGCCAAAATCAATAAATAAGACTTAGACCGGGCGCAGCGAGCAAATAAATAAATTCCAAATGTGCACATTTCATGTGATAATATTAACTTTATTCGTAAATACATTTCATTTCATTAATTTATATCATTATTATTATTATTATTAATATTATTATTAATACAATGTGTAATTTATTAAATGTGTGTCTGTATATGTGTGTGTTTGTGTTTCGAATCGTGCTTTAAAACTTGTCAATTTCGGGCTTAGTTTGTTTCATTAATTTACCTTATGTTTTTTTGTTTTATTATTATTCATTATATTTTGCTAGCATTTTATATCCGTTTCCTTTGCCCTCTTACATCAATGTCAAATTATATCATTTTCATTTCATTCTTTCGCTAATCCATCAAATAACATTTTATTTAAATTCCAAAACTAAACAAAGAATGATGTAAATATGTATGTATATATGCTAATGTGTGTGTCTGTGTATGTTGTATGTGTGTGTCTTGTATATATTTATATAAAACGCTTGAGCCAGTCCTTATGCCTGGACACTCGAACAGCAAGTAGAGTCCTTGCCTATGCTGCCGAAAAAAAAAAACATTTTGTCTAATAGCTATTCTCTCAATTTTTTTTTTTTAATTTTAATATTTTGTTACTTATACACAAAAAATGTTTGTGGTTATAAGAGTAACAATGGCATTTTCCTGCACTTTTAGCAGGACGATTTTTTCTCTATCCTTTCATTGATTTATGTCTGTTTTTTATTATTTTTTTTTAAAGGATCTACCTTGTTTTTTTTTGTATATATTTTTTTTAAATTTTTTGTGTGTTTCGTTTTCATGTCGAAAAAATGCCAAATATATATTTAGATATATATATAATTTTGTGTGTGTTTGTGTAAGTTTTAATAGCTTTTATTGCATCAGTCCCATTGGTTTTGAGTTGTTGTGTTTATCGGTTATCGTTATCGATTATTTTTAAGGGGTTTCTTGATCGAGTTAAGCACCATAAAAAGTATGTACTCCCCTTTTAACTGGCATACACATAACACACGCTCTATAATTTACTTATTCTTTTGATTTTATATATATTTTATATTTATGAATTTTCTCTTTGAGCCTTTTTTGAAACAGATCTGCTTCAAGTGTTCTGCACCGAATATCGTTTATATCATGCATAGCGAGTGCTGCCTGTGGTCTGAGTGAATACTACTTAGGATCGTCTACATGTGTATGTGTGTGTGTGTGTGTGTTTGTTTGTTTGTATGTGGGTGTTTCAACTCTTGTAAATGTGTTTATTAAAAATTAGCTAGCTAATGGGGGACAAAAGCAAAGTTTTGTTTTGCTTCTCTTCTTTACCTTCCATAACTTCCTAGTGCGTGTGCTGCATGAAAGTTACTCGTTACTCGTTACTCGCTACTCGTTACTTGTTACTCGCTACTCGTTATTTACAAAGACATAAGAGCATATTGAAGTCATGTACTCGCTAGTCTACAAAAATGGCCTGGCCTAATTCTGGGAGGTTTTTCATTTGGATACGGTTCGCTTCTCAATGTGTACTCCACTATATATCTATATCTATATAACTGAACGAATGGGAATGATCGAGTTGGAGTGGGGGCGGGTGTGAGGATTGATTCATGCTGATTCGTTCTAGCTCAAATGCATTGCAGTAAAATGACAATTTATGGCCTAACACTTATTTGTTAACACACAGTGCAAAAATATGGTATCATCATCATCATCATCATCGTCATCATCATTTGCTTTTTCACTACATTTATTTACGCATCTATATACCGTACATATATATTGTATATGGGTATGTATATATATGTTGACTATACTTTTCCATTATTTAATTATTCGTATTCGTAATCGTATTATATATATATGTTTCATTAATACATATACAGTTATATACCCTTATGTATGTACTCTTATGTATTTTTAACTGCTGCGTTTTATATGCGGAAAACAAGAAAACAAAACTGAAAGAAAACTTTCGCTATGGAAAATCTTTTCTTTATCATTTTCTCTTTTTCTTTTAACTCTTTTGTTTTTCTGTCTCTTGAAGGCAATTTGATGTCAGACTCTTGCTTTAAACGTAATTACATTTCTCTTAGCTATATATTATTCACTTTTTTTTACCATTTATATTCTCTGTATCTATGTGTGTGTTTGTGTGTGTGAGTGTGTGCTTTGTATGTGCGAGCGAGAGAGAAAGAGAGCGCATTTGCTTCGTTTGTGTGGAAGGCGTTAGGAATTGTTTATTGTTTCTGTTGTTTTCGGGCTCGTTTCGAAGCTTGGGGTTATTCTTTATCAACTTTTGCCATTAAATAATTTTTTTTTTTTTTATAAATTTTAGCTTTCCTGAAATCGTAACACTTTAGTTGAAATTTAATTCTGAAGATTTCTTTTGTTTTCTGCATGTTTGAAGAGACGAACGAAATTTACAGTAGAGAATGCAATGATGAATTGGCTGCTGGAATAACCCTTATCTGTCGCTGTTCAAGTCGTTAAGCTCGACTTTTATCATTTCCAACATTTGATAATCTAGCAAATTTAGTCTATTTCGATTCGATGCATTCTCTTTGCAGTATCTCAAGTGTAGCTTGAATGGTTTGCTAAAGTTTCACTCAGTGGGCTTATAAATCGGTCTCTGAACAGCTATCTATATGCCGTTCAAGTCTGTTTCGCACGTCTTCAACTTGAATTTCGCTCGCATTGCGGGCCCCTAAAAGTATGCAATATTTCTGTGATTTCTTCAGAATTTGAAGGACGATGCGAAATAGTAAATATTGTAGAAATATTTTAAATTGTTCGTAAATTTGTCGGCCAACATTGATTACTGATTCGCTAGAAAAAATTAAAAAAAAAATTGTGGGAAATCACAAGAGCTAAAAACAAAATAATAAACAAAAACGAAAAAAGAAATTATTTAAGAATTACATTTATTAAAAATGTTGTTAAAAAAAATGTATACAGACAGCAAAAAAATCAACAAAATTAATACATTTACAATAAACGATAGTGCGACATCGATATCGATAGCGAACGGCATCGATCGATAGCCCGATTTCAGGCAGTTTTCCTTTTTTTGTATGTTTGTTTTCATTCTCTCAGTTTTATGATCATTTTTTGTTTTTTGTTTTTTTTTTTTGTTTTTTCATTTTATTTTCGCTTTTTTCTTTTTTTTTTTTTTGATTACGACGACGACGCATTCGCCATTGAAAATATACATATATGTATTATAAATACATACATATACATATGTATATATGAATAGTTATTTGTATGTACTATGCGATAATTATGTTTAGTATGCATATGTATATACTATATAGGCATATACATACATGATAATAATAAATGAATACAAAAAAAAAAATAATAATAATAAAATTAAATGAATAATTAGAATTAGTTTCTTTTTTGTTTTCTTCTTTCTGTTGATCAAGTGTACAAGACAGGATACATACAAACATACAAAAAAAAAAAAAAAAAAAAAAAATTAAAAATAAAAATAAAAATAAAATAATAATAATAAACAGTTGTATAACTTTGTATGCACACATTTTTCATCATCTTCTCAATTATTCAATAATTAATATTATATTAGATTAGCTTAGGCTTAGATGTATGGGTGTATGTGTGTGTGTGTGTGTGTGTGTAGTTGATTAAACTAACGTTACATAATATGCCATTTAAATAATTTAAAGTAGAAGCTTGCTGTAGCTTGTTGCCGTGTTATCGTTTATCGATAAACGTAGCCAATCGCCCCTCGACACTCCCACAACACGCTCCTCACCCTTAGCCCAAGCCCGTTACACGCAGCGCAGCCCGTGTGTGTATCTATGTATGTGTATGTGTGTGTGTGTTTGTGTGTGTGTATGGATGTGTATGTGTGAATTTCTCTACAAAAAAAGTACTTAAAAACCAGGGACAGTAAAAACTAGCTAAATACGACTTTAGTTTCTATGTATATATATGTGTATATATATATGTATATATTAGATGTATGTATATATACCTTATATGGTTGATTTGCGGTATATTCCTATATATATATCTATTCAGATCTGTGTGTATATATAGATAGATATATGTATATAAAAAAAAAAAACAATGTTTTCTTATAGCTGTAGACATTATATGAGTGTGTATCTTTGTGTATATGTGTGTGTAGGCGTGTTCATGTGTGTGTGTGTGTGTGGCTATAGTCAACTATAATTGATTAGCTCAATCTTAACTGATCTTAAATCAACTCCATATGAATAAATGTTAACACTTAAATTAAGATTTTTCCTCTTATTTTTGCAATTATTTTGCGCTCTAAAATTTTGCATAAAAAAAAGTTTATTATAATTCTATATGTATGTGTGGGGTTGTGTGTGTGGGTGTGCTTATATATGCATATATATAGATATATATGTATATTTCATAATGTATGTATATAGTAAAAGCATAATTTATTTAGTTTAAAAAGTCCACACACACTCACGCACACACACACACACACACACACACACACATACACTCTCGTAATGCCGTAAAAAGCACAGAATTCAGTTCTAGAACCGAATGAGAACAACACAAAACAAAAATCTATTTAGTTCATCATTACTTCTTCTGTTTTTTTTTTTTTTAGCCAAAACTAGACCAAACCAAACTGTTCCATTCCATTTCGTTTCAGTACATTTCGTTTCATGCCGTTTCGTTCCGTTTTACAGTCAACAGTCTTCGGTGTGTTCAGTGCGTTCGTCTTGGACTGTCAAGCAGAAAAAAGTGTTCCATTCCATTATGTTTCACATATGTTTGCAGTCTTGTTGTGGGTCATTGTTTCCATGCAAGTTTCTTTTCATTGTATGTTTTTTTTTTGTTGCTTTTTGTTCTTTTTCTTTAATATACTCTGCAGTCTTGTGTTCTGTACGTTCATTTCAAGGATATTCTATTTCATTACATTTCATTTCATTGGTCTGGCTGCTGTTATTGCTGTTCTGTTTTATTCCGTTCCGTTCCGTTCCATTCCATTTCGTTTCATTTTCGGTCCGCAGTCTTTTGAATACGTTAGGGTTGTGTGAGGGCAACAGGATGGGTTGGTTCGCCTGGTTTAGTGCTTTGATTTCTGTTTTTTTTTTCTCATGATTTTTATGTTTTTGTTATTTTCGTTTTGTATATATGTTTAGGTTAGGTTTTGGCTTTTAAGATCTCCAACAATTAGGGCGAAAATTAAAAATTATATGAAAATACAATATGCTCTACATTATGTATGTAGTAATAATAATGATAATGATAATGATCATAAAATAATCAATGATCGATAATCGGCAAGCGACCAATCGATAATCGATAATCGATAATTGAAGCTTAATAGTTGGTAATTGGTAAATGGTAATTGGTAATCGATATTAAATTGGTAAGTGGTAATCGATAATCGGTAATCGACAATCGATCATCGATAATCGATATAATAAAAAACATGCTTTAAGTGTACTATTCTAAAATAATTCAGTCATCAGGTAACATTGTTTTGAACACAACTACAGTAACAGAAGCTGAGGTCACGGGCGTGCGCGTAGGCGGGCGCGTGGGCGTGGCAGCAGCGGCAGTATAAGTATTTATATTGTTATTATTATTAAAATTATGATTATTCATATTGTTGTTGTTGTTGTTGTTGTTGCTGTTGCTGTTGTGTGGTGCTGTGGATGATGTTGTTGTTTGATGTGGTTGTTGTTGTTGTTGCTGTGGTTGTCGGTGTTGTGTTTGTGTTTGAGTTTGTGTCGTCGTCGTCGTCGTCGACACGGCAGTCCATTGTTGCATTGTTGCTGGGCGCATTGCTAATGACGTGGGCGTGGCAGCGGTCAGCAACAGCTGCTCATCGGTTTGTGTATGTATTGTGGCAGTGCTGGCAACAGTTGCCGACGGTCGGCAACAGTTGCCGTTGGGCAGTATTGTGGTTGTTGATGCTGTTGTTGTTGCTGCGGCTGTTGCTGCTGCTGCTGATGTTGTTCTTGTTGCTGTTGCAGCTGCTGGCAATTGGTATTTCAAAATTAGCTGCGTCTATTGCTCACAAATATTGTTGCTTACCATTTGCCGCCTGACTTGAACTGTTGCTGCTGCTGTGGCAGCTGCCGTTGCTGTTGCTGTTGCTATTGCTATTGCTGTTGCCATTGCGCTGTCGCAGCAGCGATTTGGTTGTGATTGTTATTGCTCCTTGGCTCGTGGCAGTGTTGTTACTTAAGTTGATTATCCTACGGGGCAGTATTAGTTGATGTTGCTGTTGTTGTTGTTGTTGCTGCTGTTGTTGTTGCTGTTGCTGCTGCAATGCGAGCAACTGCTGCTGTTGCTGTTGAGCAGTGGCTATTTCACTTAGGCTGGCCAAAGTCACCGCCGTCTTCAGCACATGAGCTGGCGGCGGCGTTGACGCTCGTGTTGCAGCTGTTGTTGTTGCTGCTGCTGTTGTTGCTGTTGCTGTTGGACGTTGTGACATTAAGGCCGACTGTAGAATTGATGTATACTGTTGTTGTTGTTGCTGATGTTGTTGATGTTCAAGTCTTTTGCTCTCTTCTAATCGGTTGCTGCTGTTGCTGTTGCTGCTGCTGCTACTGCTGCTGCTGCTGCTGCTGCTGCTGCTGCCATTGCTGCTGTTGTTGCTGCTGCGCGCTATTTGATCTGCAGCTGCTGTTAGCGTCGCCAACGTGGCCGCTGCGCCGCTCAGCAGCGAAGTCTTCAGTATGGACGAGGAGGCATTGTTATTGGCGCTGCCCGAGTTGGTTGCTGTCAGCGACAGCGGCAATTGTTGCTGCTGCTGCTGTGGTGGCGGTGGCGAATCTGCAGCGCCAATTTCAATTTTGATCTTGGGCAAATCCAGCAACATGGCAACCTGCGCCTGCAACTGTTGCTGCTGCTGCTGTTGTTGTTGCTGCTGCTGTTGTTGTGGCCGTGATCTGCGACGTGTTGCTAATGTTGTTGTTGCTGTTGTTGTTAAATGTGGCTCGTGTTGCGGTTGGCGCTTGGACGGCGCCGGCTGATGATTGCTGGCGGGCAGCAGGCCATGCTCAAGCATTTGCTACCTTATGCTCGCCGAGTTGAGCACGAAGGGCACGTAGAACATTTTACTCTCCAGCAACAGACTGGCCGCCGCTTGAATCTGTGGGGGATGGATTGCAGGTGGATTAGATGGGGGACTCGCTTCAATGCTTCATTCAGCTCGCACTCACCTCGGGTATGTGGGAGAGCAGCTCGCTGAGCCGCGCCTGCGGATTCTGGGGCGAGGAGCTCTGCAGGTAGGAGCGCAGCACCTGGATATAGCGCTCCTGTATGCTCTCCAGTTCCACTTCTGCTAAAAGTTACGAAGGGGAACAGATGCATTAGTGGACAACGATGGGTGGGCCGGTGGGGACGTACCTTTGTTCAGCAATATGTAGACCTTGAGGCAGACATACTCCTCCATCTTGAGCTTGATGCGCCGGAACATGATGGTGATCTGGGTCATCTTGTCGACCATGTGGCCGACGTCCAGCTTGAGCTGCTCCATGGCTATCGGCTGGCCCATCAGCGTCGTCAGGCAGGTCTGCAGCGTGCTCAGGTGCGAGTTCACCTCGCTGACAAACTCCGGATCGTCCTTGTGCAGCGGCATGGGCAGCTGGCTGGCTGTGGGCGTGGATGTTGGCGCCGGCGAGCCGTGCCGATTGCTGCTGTGATTGTTGGGACTGGTGGCGGCGCTCGAGGAGCGCTTGCCGTGCAGCGCCTGGTAGGCGGCCGTGGTCAGTATGAGTATCTCGTGCCACTTGTCGGTGAGCAGCTTTGTGTGAATCTCGACGGGTATCTCCAGATAGAAGGGCAGCTTCTTGGTCCACGAGACGAGCTTGTGGACAATCGAGTCGCCAATGTTGCATAGCTTCTCGCTGATCTCCGACTTGTCCTCGAGGAACTCGCTGAAGTGCGGCAGCGTGGCAATGTCCTCCATGGCATCGCAATCGATCAGCGTCTGGATCATCGAGAGCGCATGCTCGTACGAGATCTGTCTGTCCTTCGACGAGCTGACGGCCGAGTCGAGGCGGTGCCGCAGATGGACGATCTCGCTGGGATTGGTCAGCGCTGTCTTCAGTATGGTGCCGTTCATCAGGTGCGCCGGCAGCGATGGTTGCTGCTGCTGCTGTTGCTGTTGTTGCTGCTGCTGTTGTTGCTGCTGCTGTTGCTGCTGCTGTTGCTGCTGGTGATGGTTGTGGTGTTGCTGCTGTGTCACATTGGGCGGCTGCGGCACGTGATGCGGGGAGGAGAGCGACAAATGCGGCGACGATTGTTGCTGCTGCTGTTGCTGCTGTTGTTGCTGCTGCTGCTGCTGCTGTTGCTGATGTTGCTGCTGGGCCGGACTGTGCATCGGCGGCGGCTGCAGATGCTCCGTCTTCAGCACGGGACCCAGAAACAGCTTCGATTGCTGATGCTGATGCTGGGCAGCGGCGGCAACAGCTGCGGCCAACTGTTGCTGCTGCGGCGACAGCAAATGATGCGGCGACAATTGCGCCGGATGGCCATGTCCGCCAGCCGCATGATGATGGTGTATGGGCGACAGCAACTGTTGCTGCTGCTGTTGCTGCTGCTGCTGTTGCTGCTGTTGCTGCTGCTGCTGCTGTTGCTGCTGCTGCTTTTGGTTTGTCTTCTTGTGCTTCTTGTACTTCACCTTGTACAGATTGTAGACGGCGCCGCTGTTACGTCCGCCCGGCATGCGATCCTCCCGCACGGCTGCCAGGGATCGAGGTGAGAGAAATATTATAGTAAAATTGGGTTTGCACTGACTCATAAAAGTCAATGTACGCAGATGAGTTAACAGTCGGTTTGCATGATTCAGCTACAATCGATAATAATCTAATGATTTTGTTTTCTTTCTTTCATAAGGAAAGCTGTCTATTAAAGTCTCTGATATATGTATACACATATATGAAGTATCTTATACAGTGGAGTACTGATAATTCGAAATGCGAAGGGGATCAGATTTATATAGAAATTTAAATTATGGAGTACGGATTATTTTTTCATGGGGATTGAAACTATTGTTAGATTCATTACGATTTTCGATTTAGCGGGATAAAAATGATCAAGACTCGTCTGTACATCATTCTGAATATTTCAAGCTTTGCTCTTAGTATTTTCTAGGTATGTTTGGTTAATTCGAAAGATTATACGAAACTAAAATATTCTGAGTCAGTAATTGGTTTTTAATATACCTTTTGTGTTTGACAAAGTTTGCGTATTAGCCCAGTAAAAACTTGTTATGATTATATATAATTATATACTGGAATACTATGATAGCTGCGAGCTCTTTGATAAGCTGACTGGAATTCCATATAGAATACTAAACTGATATACTGTCGAACTGATTTGTACAAGAAAAATATTAACGAAATTTCTATACAAAAATTCCTAATAATAGATTTTCAGTATATAGGTGTATATCTGTCAGGATATCAACAGTAAAAGTTACTAATCCGTTAGCTTTATATACATATATAAATAAAAGATATTTGAGTGCTCGAAGTCTATTGGAATTGTGATTTCAGCTTATAGATGCATTGAAATTCAATCATAAATCATGTAGAGTACAAATTTTGAGCTCAACTAGCTCTACTCAGTTTTTTATTGGATTTTCTAGTGGAATTTCTATGTATTAAACAGAAAAGGAAGTTGTTGTAGTGCTCTAAGACCATTGAAATTGGAATTTATTGCGACGAAAACTCTGGTACCTACACGAATTTGTATGAGCAAACTTATATGGTTATAGAGTTTTTCGGATCTTCCGATCAAGAGAGTCTTCGTTGACCATGGAATGCTATTGCTTATTTCTATATCTAAGTAGAACTGAATAATTTGTACTCTACTCAGTCAGCTCAATTTAGAGTGTGATTTGGGATACTTTATAGTGAGGCACTACCGGGTAGAGAAGCTTCTCTAGTTTTGCCTGGATATTGGATTAGCAGAGGTGCCCATTTGAACTGCCCGGCTCTACTTAATTCGTTATTTCTTGTTATTAAATTTCCTGCTTCTTCTCAATGATTTCGATTGCGACTAGCGACCGTTAGAGTTTCGTAGGCGTTGTTTGTCATACTGACCTTGCAGCACCATGCCCTGCTCAATGCATTTCTTAAATCGACAATACTGACAACGGTTGCGCTGTGCTTTGGTTATCTCGCAGGTGCCATCGGCCACGCACGTGTAGATCCTTCGGTTTTGCACGGTGCGCTTGAAGAAGCCCTTGCATCTGCAGGAGAGGATCATAGAGAGGGAGAGAGAGAGAGAGAGAGAGAGGGAGAGATTCATGTTAGATCAACTTGGTCAAGTGCTCCATTTGCCATTTGTCCGTGCTCCCAACTTACCCCTCGCAGGTGATGATGCCGTAGTGCAGTCCGGTGGCCTTGTCCTCACAGATCATGCAGACCAGCGGCTGATCATCCTCGTCCGTTGGCTCGTGCGGCGCCTCGAGGGAGCGCCCGCTGCTGCTGGAGTTGGAATTGGAATTGGAGCTGCCCCACTGCTGCTGGGCGCTCAGATTCAGCGCCTGCAGCTGACCCGGCGGCAGCTGCGAGTAGTCCCCGGCCCACAGGCGCTCCATGTTGAGCGCGTGCGGCGTGCGGAATTGATGCGGACGCGGACGGATATCCTGGATGCGCGTCTGTCCGAGCGAGAGCAGCAGCTGGGCAGCCTCCTCGTTGTTCTGCGGACCCACAGCCGGCGGACCGGGCGTATGGCTGGGCGTAATCGATCCGGTCGATGGTGACGAAGCTGTTTGCAGGCAATGTTGCTGATGTTGCTGCTGCTGTTGCTGTTGTTGTTGCTGCTGCTGCTGCTGTTGGTGTTGCTGCTGCTGGTGTTGCTGCTGTTGCTGCTGCTGCTGTTGTTGTTGCTGGTGTTGGTGTTGTTGCTGTTGGTGTTGGTGTTGGTGTTGGTGCTGCTGCTGCTGTTGCTGCTGCTGCTGCTGTCCCGCTGTTGGCGGCGGCGGCTCATAGCCCCAGACCATGGTGCGCACGCCGCAGCTCTCGCCCATGATGACGGTGGGCGTGCCGCGCGGCGGCGTCTGCGAGGGCGTCTGCGGCGACAGCTGGGACGACGAGGACGAGGACGAGGGATGCGGCGACGGGCAGAGCGGCCCGCCAATCACCTCCGGCTTGACGCCGTTGATGCGCGCATTGCTGAAGCAGACCATGCGCTGAGCTGCCGCTGCGGCGGCCGCTGCTGCTGCTGCCGAGGGCTGCATCAGATGGGGCAGTCCGCTGGATGCGGCGGCAGCAGCCACCGCCACCTGCTGCTGCACCTCGCTCTTCACCCGGAACAGTATGGCGGCATCGCGGCTCGGATGGCGCAGCGACTGCAGCGAGGCGGAGTGCATCAGCGACTGTTGCTGCTGCTGCTGCTGTTGTTGCTGTTGCTGCTGCTGCTGCTGATGCTGCTGGTTTTGTTGCTGCTGTTGTTGCTGCTGCTGCTGCTGCTGGTGTTGCTGGTGCTGGTGTTGGTGGTGGTGCGGCGATAGGTGCCGCTGCACCTGCCCGCCCGTTCCACCGCCCGCATTGGGCTCCTTCTTGACGCGAATCAGCGCATGCGGCGAATGTTGCTGCAGATGTTGCGGCGACTGTTGCTGCTGTTGCTGTTGCTGCTGCTGCTGCTGGCCAAGCAGGTGATGCAGATGCAGCTGCTGCTGTGTGAGCTGCTGCATCGACTGCATGGCCAGCTGCGGCAGCTGCAGCTCCTGCGGCGGGCTGTTCTTCCGCAGCGTCAGCGGCTGCGTCAGCTGCTGGTGCAAGTGATGCGTCTGTACGATGGAGGCGGGCGCCAGGCTGCCATGCCCGTGGCCATGGCCGTGGCCCAGCTGGGCGTGCCCGTGGCCGTGGGCGTGCGGATGGCCGTAGCCGTGGCCATGATGCTGGCCCATCGGCGGACTGGCACGGCTGATGTGCTGCGAGGAGCTGATCGAACTGGAGCTGGAGCCCAGCTCCCGTTCCCGATCCCGCTGCGTGGTGGACGAGGGCGAGGCGGGCGGCGGCGGCTCCGCCTTGATGCGCGACGGCGTCACCAGCACTGTGACATGACCCGTGGCCGCCTTCAGATCCCGATCCCTTTCTCGTTCCCTTTCGCGTTCTCTTTCCCGCTCGCGCTCCCGCTCCCTGTGCTGCTGCTGCTGTTGCTGCTGCTGCTGGTGGTAGGCGAGCATTTTGGTGGGCGAGGCCAGGATGCGCTCCTCCTTGACCGAGCGTATTACACTCAGATTGCTGCTGATCTTGTTGTTGTTGTTGTTGCTGTTGCTGTTATTGTTGTTGCTGTTGCTGCCGCCGCCTCCACTGCTGCTGCTGCTGCTGGTCGCCAGCAGTCCGTTGGTGGGCGTGGCACTGTTGCGACTGCCCGTCGTCGTCGAGGGCTTCTCCTCCAGCGAGTCGGGCGAGGCCAGGCGACTGCTGCCATTGCTCGAGCTGGAAGCGCCGCCATTGTTGTGCGGCGGCGTCGGCGTGCCGCGTGCACTCAGTGCCAGCGACAGGGCCTCTACCCCGCCGCCGCCGCCGCCGCCTCCACCTCCGCCAGTGTCGAGGGCCAGCGGTGGCGTCGCTGCCGACGGCGGTGGCGACATAACTGTAGAAGCAGCCGCCGCTGTGATCGCATTGCTGGATGAGTTGATTTCAGTCTGTTGATGCTTGGATCCACCACCGGCCGATCCACTGCTCGCCGCCGCAGCGGCAACTGTTGCTGCCACGGCTGCTGCTGCTGCCGCTGCTGCGGCTGCCGATGCTGCTGCCTTGGCTGCTGCTGTTGCGGTAATGGTGATGGTGTTGCTGCTGCTGCTGCTGCTCGGACAGCTGCCGGTTGTCGTTGACATTGTTGATGATGATGCTGCTGCTGCTGCGCCTCCACTTCCTGCTCCTGCCGATGATGATGATGATGATGATGAGGTGGCGGCAGCTGCCGCCGATGTGGACGCCGCTGTTGTCACCGTCACCGTCACCGATGGCAGCGCCGGCAGCGACGGCAGCGCCGGCGTCGTGCCGCTGTCACAGAGCTTCGGCGACATCGGCGCCAATAGATCCGGCGACGAGGTGGATGTGTCCGCTATGGATTCGCCGTCACTGCTGCATCTTGAGTCGATTTTGCGTCGCTTGAGTTTGAGGTCTTGAAAAAGGCTCATTTTATCGAGCTCGCTGTACGGGCCACGGCTCAGTGTCATAATTCCTGTGCAACGAATGCCGTTAGATGGAGCAAGGGTGTGTGGCGGGGGAGAGAGAGTGTGCCACAAAGGATGAGAGAGAGAGAGAGAGAGAAAGAGTTAGAGACGGAAATACTTGTACGTACTTAAATTATATACAGTTATTATGTAGTCTATAGAGTCTAAAGTTAATGCTTATAAATATATATATCCAAATCTGTTTTGGATCAGTTCCATTGCAAGTGCGATAAGCCACATAGGACAGCATCCTAGCAACATCCGAATCTGGAGAGTTATTGGGCACATTTATGCAAGCGTAAAGCCCCAAAGAAGCTACTTACAAAAATCGTCCCTAGTATTCTATATATTATATAAGATACAACCCTAAAAACCCTAGGCAATTCATGGTATCTTATTGACCAATGCTAGAAATATATTCAGTATATTTACCCGTAGATATATCAAATGTGTTTCCAGCTTTTACATGTCTAAATATATAGTATGTAAAACAGCTAAAAGGCGAAGTTTATAGCCCCGACAGGAAATCGGAATCAATTATTTAGTCTAAAGTTTTTAAAGTTAAGTCATTAAAATTAGACAGCTATGGCGTGGCAAACCTAGAAATATTTCTAAATAGAAGCAACTGCTTCCCAGGGAGCTATCGGTACAGTGGATTTCCAACTAAAGTCGAGCTTGAGGATTGTTTCATATGATCAATATCATTTCCCATTTACATGAAATTTATCAGATATGTCACATCAAGTTACTTTAGTTATCTCTAATCTAATTTATAATTTAGAATAGAATTTTCAATTGAAGATCAGTTTCATATATGGAAATATATTATATATGGAGCTTCTTGATCGTCATTAAGAACTACGTCAATATCAGTTTGTATCGATAAGTTGACTTGGGCTTGAATTCATGTATATAATGATATAATCATATACATATACATAACTGAAATGAAGTATTTAATTTCGTTGTAGGGAAGATGGGTTTCAATATATGTATATCCCATATGTGTTACGATGAAATGCAATGATTAAATATTCATATATAAATGTATATGTGTATATACATATAAAATACAATATACACTTGAGTCTCGATACATTTATACATATATGAAAAGAAATTCTATAGCCTAGCAAATACAATAATTCGTTCTCGATAATTTGAATTCTGTGTAAATCGACGAAAAGCTGATCCCCTTGCCATTTCGAACTATCTGCACTCGACTGTATACACATATACATATTTTAATATGATTAAAGTATATACATATATATTACTATTATACATTATGTATATTTATGAAATATTAAATTCTTGGGTTTTGGCAACACCTTTAGATGTCAGAGCGAAGCTCATTATAAACAATATTTGGCTGAAGTCGAAGGTTGAAATTGACTCAAGAACAAGATACAGATACAAGACGCAAATAAAAGTTATAGGCGAACAAAATATATTGTTGAAGATGCTAAAAAAACAAATACATAGACCACGTCTTTTGGCGGGAAACTATTTTATATGAAATGTATTTAAAGTCGTATTTGCGCTAGAGACAAAATCTATGTGGTCTCATCATCCATTGAGGCCTGACACATCGCCTCTCAATTTCCTTATATAATATTATATGTTTGGGGGCGTGGCAGGTCGAAGCACACTACTTATATCTTGCTCGATTTTAAAGCTATTTAATACTAAAAAGTCTTGTGGATAGATCCATGTTGATATCCTCACTGATGATAGTATAAATCGCTCTTCGAGGCGTGTCTTCACTGACTAAAGTAATTTTTTTAAGGATTGAAGGCGAAATGTCTTGAAGCGTTATATATAAAATATATAAATGGAATGCTAAAGTGTTTCAGATATGCACATCCGTAAATAATAAATAGTTTTTTTTATTTCCCCCCTAAAATGTTGAGAAGCCAGCTAGCTAATGAGTTCCTCTTCAGGTCAAATTTTAGTCTATATGAGGGAAATGAAAAACATTTCTCCATGCCATGAACGAGTATTGGGCAGTCGGTCATGCCCGACTGCAACAGTCTCACTGGCTTGTAGATCGAATCAAGCTGTGTCTCGCTCTCTTGCAGAGCTGAGCACTACCTGGTCGAAAATATGCTTGCATTCTCAGCTTCTTCAGCCTCCGGTCTGGGAGATGCTGATGCTACGTTTCCCATGGCCGTGACTTTGTCTCATGCTAAAGCCGAAATCGTTTCGCATGGGTGTTAACTTGTCAAACTTGATTTGGCGTTTAGAATTTCAGATTTTCATTTAAATAACGTGCAGAATACACTCACTGATCGGCGAACGCGGCATATTGGCGAGGGTCAGATGCTAGAGCGAACTGATGTGATAAGGGGGAAAGGGCAGATCGATAGAAGATTTATGTATTATCTATGGATTGGAATAGTTGCAAATTCAGAGGTATTACCTATGAAGTAATTATGTAATAAGTCTGGAATATTTCATATGATTTTTGTATGATTTGATATTATCATAAATATATGTATGTATATATCTTATTGCTAATGTGATATGAAGTCACACTGTGAAGTTAACAGCAGAATGTAAGAGTATAAAGCCAACAGCAGGGTCTAACAGTCTAACAGCAGAATCTAACAGCAGGGTATTAACAGCTGAGTCTAACAGCCGGATTTAACAGAAGAGTCTAACAGCAGAGTCTAATAGCAGAGTCTAATAGCAGAATCTAACAGCAGAGTCTAATAGTGGAAGTCCCCAGTGTTGATCTGAGGTTGGGAGCGCTTGTACAGAGTTATTACAGAGCAATTGTCCGAGTGAGTTTGCTTCTAGGCAGCAGCAAACTGAATTTTGATAGCCGTCTTTCAAATCCTACTCCACAAGAGAGGGAGACAGAGAGAGAGAGAGAGGGAGAGAGAGAGAGAGAGAGAGAGAGAGAGAGAGA